AGAGAGACAGAGAAAGAGACAGACGGAGAGAGAGAGAACACTGTGCTTCTTCTTCTAAGGTCCTAAGGTATAACCTCATCCTGAGGACTCTAACCTCATGATCTACTCTAACCTTAATGATCTGTCAAAGGTCTCCTGTCCAAATACTGTCCCCGCGAGGATTAGAGCTTCAATATATGAATTTGGGTCACTTTGGGCTCTCTGAAACCCATGTCCTTCTCACATGCAAAATATATTCATTCCATTTCTATAGCCACAAAAGCCTTAATTCATTTCAACACCAATTCTGATGTTTAAATATCATCTAAACTGAATATGGATGAGACTCAAGCTATGATTCATAGTGAGAAAAAAACTCTTTTCCAACTGTGAACCTATAAACTCAGACAAGTTATATGCTTCTAAAATACAGTGGTGCCATAGACATCAGCCAGACTATTCCATTCTAAAATAGAAAATAGGAAGAGAAAGGGGCCCAAGTCCAAATACAATTCCAGACATGACTAGGAAATGTCCTTTACACTTCAAGGCTCAGGAACATCCCTTTTGACCATCATGAAGGATGAAATCCATCCTATTATATGAAATATGTCAAGCACAGAAGGACAAGTAGTACATGTTCCCATTTGGGGAAGCATAAAAAGTTGATCACATAGAAGTAGGAGATCACTAGAGCTTGCTAGAAGTTAAGAAGGATAGAGGACCAGGGGATAGAGAGAGGGTACGTGAGGGGACCCAAGTGCAACTGGGAGGAAGCAGTTCTGGTGTTCCACACCATAGCTAAACAATGGTAGGCTATAGCAATTCATCTGTCCATTTAAAAATAGCTAAAGAGTTTGAAAGTTCCCAACACATAGAAATAATAAGAGAAGAAATGGAGACATTGTATACCTGTAGTGAATTACAATGATGTGATATAATATTAATATTACATATCATTAAATATAAAAATGTAGAATAGTCTTCTTTGGATTAATTCCCTGTCCTCCACAACTCCCATGGCAGAGGTGGGGAAAGGGAGATACTCCATGACTCTACTGGGGCTCTGTCCTCACGGCTCTCTGCCTCTTCGCACAGCTTGCCAGGTGGGGTGCTGCCCTGCGAAACCCTGGTAGCATTCTCTTAGAGTAAGCATTCTCTTATTTTGCAATATGGATAGTCCAGCTGTTTTCCAAATCTTCAAGTTCTGATTCCTTCTTGCTCAAGTCTCTCTTCTTTTGCATTTCAGTACAGACACTCAAGAGGAAGCCAGCCTGAATCCTTCAACATTGGCCTTAAAATCTCCTCAGCTAATTTTCCAATTTGAATCTCCACAAGTTCTACCTGGCAGACACTAGAGCCCAGTTCAGACAAGTCCATTGCCCTTTTACAGCAAGGAGTGCTTTCCTTTTAGCTGCCAATAGCGTGTCCTTCATTTCTGGGGAGTGATAGTTCCCCTTAACGTCTGTGTTTATGATGTGCATCTCACAACTCTTCTGCTGCTCAGTTAGCAGCTCTAACTGCTTCCACATTTTTAGATAGCTGTAGAAGTATCTCACTGCTCATGACCAGAGTCTTTTAAGTCAACAAATGACACCTTAGCAAACTATGAGTTGTGACCACAGACAAGAGTGAATATTTAAATTTTAAAATAATTATTACAGTAAAAGACAGATTGCCACGAGTCCCCTTAAAATGCTTTCCCTTGCCTTAAACACACTCTTCCCGTCATTCTTGCCACTCCTTGAAGCCAATCTGAAGTCCTCTCTCCAGAGTGTCTTTAGTTGAGCTATCCTGACTACCTCAGTGTATTGAATTGATTCAAAACATTTTCCATTTATGGGCATGGTGACCTTGGGGAAGAGCCAGAGGTCACTTGGTGCCAGATCCAGTGACTAAGGTAGGTGAGGACACACCGTAATATTTCTGTGAGCCTGCATTTCTGTCGAGTGGCATTTGTCAACAGCCTTCACCTTATTTTTTATCTCACCTTGTAAATGCACTTACAGTAGTGGACTTTCAGAACTGCTGCAGAAAGGGGCAAAAGTGGTAGGATAAATGTTTTTAAAATGAAGGGGAATAGTCTGAGGGATATTAATGGCAATATATCATTTACTATAATAAAATTTTTTAATTTATTTTTAATTAATTTTATTGATACATTTTAGATATACACAATGATCATAAAATCCAAGAGTCTGATAACCTTTCTTCATTCTGTCATACTTTGTCGTGCAACTCAGTCAGTATCTGCTGGTCCAGTCCAGTCTTTATCTCTGACTCTTGTTGAGGTGCTAATTAAGTTCATAAGCAATCCTATCATTAAGATGATAGGAGTTCATGGGGAGTTTGCACAATACATGATCTATCTCTATTCTCTTTTTTCCATTCCCTTCCCTTCAACCCTCTTCCCTTTTTTTTTTTTAACAAGAGCTTTGTTTCCATTTTTTTCACTTTTATTCTCATTTTTTTTCTTTACCTTTCCTTCTTTTCCCCCACTCCCTTCTGTAGTTGAACATGTTTTCCCTATTTCACAAAATCGATTATATATTTTGATCGTTATTTACCAGAGAAACATGCCATATTTAAGTGTGCATATCCAATTCATTTCACTCAAGAATATTAGGACCGGGCTGATAGCTCAGCGAACTAAAGTGCCTGCTTAGGCAGAGCATAGCAGGGTTTGATCCCCAGCGTGCCATGTTGGCCAGGGATCAAACCCACAGGTGTCGGATCTATGTAGTGAGACCCTGTAGACCCTGTAGATCCTGTCCTAAATGCAGAAAAATAAATAAATAAATAAATGAATAAATAAATATTAAAAAAGTATAGTCTCAAGGTGCACCTATTTACCTAGAAGTGTCCCTGGTTTATTCTTCTCTAAGGCAGAGTAGTGCTCAGTTGTGCTAAAAGAAATATACCTTTATCCATTTATTGGTTGGTGGGCATTTAGGTTATTTCAAATATGTATCTATTACAGACTATGCTTCTGTAAACATGGGTGTGCACATGTGCAATGGTGTGATGCTTTGAATTCTTTAGGGAACATACCAGAAAATGGAATAGCTGAGCCAAATGGAATCTTGAATTATAGTTTGTTGAGGAATCACCACACTGATTTCCATAGTGGTTGCACCAGCCTACATTCCTACCATTGCAGAAGAGTTTCTTTTCCCCCACATCCCCTTCAGCATTTATTGTTGATTTCTTCATAATAGCCATTCTTTCTGGAGTGAAGTGGAATCTGTGTTATTTTAGTTTGTATCACTGAAATTCTCAGTGATGTTGAATTTTTTTTTATACATTTCTTTGCTGTTTCTGTTTCTTAACCATAGAAGTGTCTGCTCATTTCAGAGGCCCATTTTTGGATTTGGTCTTTAAATTTGGAGGTCTATTTTTTTTTTTTTTTGGTCTAATTGTTTTGAATCCTTTATGTATTCTACATATGGTCCTTAGCTGGCACGAGTTTTTTCCACTCTGTGGGTTTTCTTCTCATTCGATGATTTCTTTTGCTATGCAAAAGCTTTTTAGTAAGATAAGACCCCAGTTATCGATTCTTTGTGATATGCCCTGTGAGGTTGGGGTTTTATTAATAAAATCTTTGCCTGTACCTATGTCTTCAAGAGTTCTACTATTCTCTTTTCCAACAGACTTAGTGTTTCTTTTTTTAATATTTAGATATTTGATCCATTTCAATTTAGTTTTTTTCATAGTGAGGCATATGGGTTCAGTTTTAAGCTTTAGCATGTGGAAAACAAGTTTTTCCAGCACCATTTATTAAAGAGTAATGTTAGTGAAGGTGTTTGGCCCATTTGTTAAAAAAAAAAAGTGTCTAAGTTATTTGCTCTTATTTCTGCATGTTCTAATCTGTTCCATTGATCCTTGGATCTGTTTTTTATTTATTTAATTTTCTGATGGTAGCATGCTGTTTTGATCATGGTAGCTTTATAGTATACTTTCAAATTGGGATTGTAATGCCCCTTGTCTTGCCTTTGTTGCCCAGAATTACTTTTGCTATTCTAGGTCTTTCTGGTTCCAGTTGAATTTTAGTATTGTTTTCTCTGATTTTGTAAGCTATGCTATTGATATTTTGATCAGCATTGCATTAAATCTGTGTAATAATTTTGGGAGTATGGCCATTTTCACTATCACATTTTTCCTACCCAAGAACAAGGTAGGAAAAATCTTTAAACTCTTTAAAATTTAAACACACACTGTAACTTACTAGTTTTTCTGTATCTACTGGGGAATTAAGCAAAAGAAATTGTGCTGTCCCCAGCATGGAGCCTGGCGGTCGAATAATAAGAGTATCAGCAAAGCCAGCATCTGGTGAGGGCTGTCTCGTTAGCTGGCAGCTGACTGACTTCTCACTCTGTGCTCACGTAGTGGGGAGTGGGCATCATCATAGCTCCATGTTCATTCTGCTCAGGGAGCCAAGATCAATGCTCTGCAGTCCCAAAGGATGGTCTCGTCATTGTATCTGTGTAGTTCACTCAACAGAGTTCAATGCACCTCTCAGCATTGATATCATCATTGTCCTTACTCCTCTCCTGCCCTGAGGAGTCATAATGTTATCTGTGAAGCACGTTCACATTTTGATAAGCAATTCATGTTAACGGAAGAGGATCCTCTATGTAAGCCAGATGCACAGTTTTTCCATGGACAGAACAGGTATTACCTGCTTCTATCTTATAATGCACTTGTCTCCTTTTCTAAAGGCATCTAGGGGCCGGGGAGATGGCTCAGTAGAATAAGCACTTCCCTGACAAGCACAAGGGTCTGAGTTCAATCCCTGGCTCAGCCAAAAAATATAAATAAATAAATAAATAAATAAATAAATAAATCTAATGAGTGTAAAGATAGTATATTGATGTTTAAACAGGCCAGAAGCAAAAGAATCACATCATCTACTTAAAAGGTGTAACACCTCATCCTCAAATTACTTCCTCCGATAACTTCCTCCTAATTCTGATTCACAACAGGTCTGGAAACTCCCATCAGTTTCTGAGGATGATCAAAGTCTTTACAAATGTGTCCCTTAACTGTTAACCTGCCTTTTCATCTCTTGGCTCTTAGTTACCTGTTGCCCTTGAAGGGAAAAGGTCCATGTCTTTAGTAGATTTTAGTCTCCAAGTTAAGATAGGCAACTCTGCGCCTTTGCACTAAAATCTTAGCTGCTACTCTTGCTTTTGTACTCCTGAAGTAGAAGTATAAGTATAACACACTCTTTACTTGTGAATTTTACCTTTTTTATTGTTCATTTTTTATAGTCTGTATTCTGAATTTATATGTTTTGTTAGAGCAGTTTTATGTATTCTGTTACATACTGTAACTTTCCATTGTACCTTATATCACACATTGTAAATGTATGTTTCTGTGTGTACTGTGTATAAGTATTTATGTTTCTTTATTTAGACTTTCGATTCCACTAACATAGAAGCCGTATTGTTTTCTCCTCACTGTATCCCTAGTGCAGAAGAAGTGCTGCAATACAGTAGGCATTCACTAAGGAATTGGCAAGTGAATAAATACATAATTATGTATTTATTACATAAAAATATGAATTATAGTGCAATTTTAAATTTAAAACTAGAAAAATAAGTTAATAAGTAAGCTAAAGATAGTTTGATTACTTTTATAATAAGCTGACAAGCTGTGAAGGTGAATGTAACTTACCTAATCAATGTATTTGACCTGTACTAATAAAAAAATTGTATTCATAATGGTAGCAAGAAAACTAAAAAATGTATTTAACACAAGAAATATCACACTTGGACCCTGAATGAAAACTACAAATATTATTAAAGTAACAGTCTAAATAAATGAAGAGATAGCGCCTCCACAGAAGTGTTAAATTCACTCACATGGTCTTCTAAAATAAATGCAGAAAGCCCCACACTTGTGAGTCACTTTCCTATGGCATTCATTGGCTAGTTCATTCAAGATTAACAAATTATTTTGGTTTCAAGAGGACAAAGAGACAATAGTCTTAGAAACAGCAGTGACATGAAATAAGTAAAAGATTTATGAAAAAAGTATGGTAGGCATAAAATCCTAGAAGCTCAAAGAGGCTAAGCCTAGCCCAACTCTTGTTGGTGCAGGTGGCAAGAACATTGTGGAGTAACCTACAGTGTCTTTGCCTAATAAGGATCCATTTTGGCAATAGCCATAAAGCCTCTAGAAGTGCCTGACACTGAAGTGATGGTCTGTTTCCCCTATGTCATTCCCAAGCTGACATTTGTTTTTAAACCTTACTTAAAAAGAATGAAAAGTCTGAACTAATCTTAGGGGTCACCTCTTTGTACTTTATGATCCCGTAAGTGGCCAGCATTGATTGGTCACGCAGAGTTGAGCCTTTCTTCCCATCAGCGCTGTTGAACACTCAGCCCGTTGGTCACTAATATTTCTATGCTCATGTCTTTGGCAATAAGAACCCCTCTCCCGTATTCCGTCCACTGTCAGGAAGCACTGCACTGGGAACTCCTTGGACTTCCCAGCAGCCTCATCGCATGATCCATCTTACGGGTGAAGTAGCTTTTTTCTCACAGACAAAGACACTGAAGCTCTGAATGTGAGTGACTGGAGTTAGCACTCAGATCCTCCTGCCTTCCGAGCTCAGACACCCGACTGCACTACCTCGTAATACTTACTTATCCAAGGAAAATGCACACCCTTTCCTTCTACTCCATTTAGTTCATCAGTCAGTTATCATTTGTTAAACATCTGGAAAGGGCCAAGTATGTGATAAACGTGATTATTCAATTCAGCATCTGCACTTAACCTAATACAGGAATTTTATTCATTCAACAAAATATCAAAGGTGAAGTATTTTCTGGCCGTCTTGCTTACATCTCATGTAAAAACATGAAATCCTGTTAGTCATTTAAAGACACTTGAAATAGGCTGCCCTCTAATGGACAGCTGTGAAAACTGTAATCCAGTTTTTAATTCTTCCTCCAAGTTAAAACAACAGATAAACTTGCTTTTTCCAGAATTTCTTTTTAAAGTTTTTGCTTCATTATGAAGTTCTCCACCTAGAAGGCCAGGGAGATAGCTCAGTGGAGTAAGTGCTCGCCTGGCAAGTGCTGCAAGGTCCTGAGTTCAATCCTTCATAACACACACACACACACACACACACACACACGCGCGTGCGCGCACAAACATTCTCCACCTTACTCCTAGCATTTGAACACAAGCTTAATGCTTTCTGCACTACTTTCTATCTTGAACTTCCTTGTTATGTTTCAAAGAAGAGAAAAGGAGCGTCAGTACAAATGTGGATCTCTTTATAACAAACTCATATATCATTTTAAACTTCAGTTTACTGGACACTTGCCTAGCATTTTATGAAAATACTTATATAAGTCACCTTGTAAGGTTTCAAACAGGCATCTCAGCAGCTGAATCAGCCCACTGAAATATTTCGTTTGGATCAGTGAAATTATAAGCTTTAAAAATTATATTTCATAGGAAATTCTAGTTTTATGCCATTTTTATAAAAGTGGGATATCTGCCATTGTTGAGCATATACATCATGGCAACAATATTCCACAAAAAGGGTTATAATTGATATTTTCCTGGTTGGAAGTCTAGCTTGGGAACATTTGCACATCTTTTTTTTTCATTCATAAAACTGAGACTGTCCTCTTCTCTCCTTTAAGAGACCATATCACATTCGCTCCAGTACTTCCAGTAAGGAAATCGTGCACATGTTTGAGACCGCTATAGTGACTTACCCTTCTGCCTGGTCACAGGAGATGGTGTCACTTCTTAAAAAGGTAAGACTGAGCATCAAAAAGCAGTGCTAAAAGGAGCCACATTTGCTGCTTTAAGGGTAGAAATTAGCATGTATAATGCTGGGCCAGCTGTGATAATGCCATTTCTAGAATGGTTGTTACAGCCAATGGCTTTCGACAAGGTGGCTTGAATCAACCCCAGGTTCACTTGTATGTCTCAAAGCTTTCTCGGACTCACTGTCCAAATGCAATTCTTAATCTCTGTATTTCCTAGGTTTCTTTCAATGCTCCCTCTTTCAGAATAATCTCCCTATCCATCTACTCAGACAAGCCAACACCAGGGCTCAGTCATCATTGCCATATTTAAAGTTCTGAACATTTTAAGTAATTTTTGAGTGTTTCACCTGTCTACTTCTCTGCTCATACTTCGCCAGTTCTCCTGCCAGCAAGGCTTGTCTTATAAGTGGTTTGTCCTCCTGCATGGTTCCTGTTGCATTGTGTTCTCTACCCTGCCCCAACTGAGTGTTTTCCTGCTGGTCTTAGAAAGAAAAGCAAGGACTATACTGGATTATTTTGCTGAATTCACGCACCTATAATATTTAAATGGCAATAGAATACCCTTCTCTGACAAAACTAAACAATGAAAGGGGATACAGATGAAGGACCATTTTGTATCTGTATATACAGAGTAGTTAGGATACATATACAGCTACTTTCTCTTAATTCAATGAGAAGTAAGATTTGTACTAAGTGTTTGGACAAGATATAATGTCTGCATCTTACACTATGAATAACTACTATGAAGGCAACAATATGCAATGTATTAATTACTGTTACTGTTCTACTATCCTGTTTTGAAACTGCCTCATTACTATTTGTTTCTCAATAAAATTATTTAGAAAAAGAAATTAAAATAAATAAATAAAATAAGACAGCAAATAAAAAAAGAAAGAAAAGCAAAATAATTTGCATGATCCGAAGTGATCTGACTGCCTCCCAAGCTTTATTTTTGACCACTCCCAAACTGCCCTTGAGTTTCTTCTTTTTCTTCCTGTCATTCTCTTTCTTCTCCTTTCTTCACTCTCACAGAGCAGCCTGCCCTCACCACAGCCTTTGCACGTATGCATCACTTTCTGGAACACTACTGTGCACCCAAGCCTCCTCTAGCTCCCTCCCTGCACTTAGTACTACTCACCAAGATTCACCGATTGGTTCTTAGCCCAAGAATTTCTTCCTTAAAAGTCCATATAAATACAGAAATAGAGACATTTGGAAACATTTGTAGTGGTTTAACAGTGCTGTAATCCCATGGTCAGTGGGCTTGCCTCATTGAATAGTTTCAAACTTATTTAGCTGATGGAAAACTCCAGTCATGATTTGGATATCATCTGTAGCTGCATACTAGACATATGCAGAAGGACCACATGTTGGTTTGAGTGGGTTAGAAAAATAAGCAAACAAAAATATCTAGCCTTTTGGCATAGTTTGAGAAGTACATCTTCAGATCTTAGTTCAAATATCACTTCCTTGAGGAGACTTCCTCTGTTTCAAGTTCCCTGACACTCTTTTCCCTTATAGTGTTTTGCTTGGTTTGCAATCATCCCTAGATTGCTGGGCTCCTTGGGCCAATGTCTATGCTATAGGAAGCTGAGTGAGTTTAGGAACTGCGTCTGACTGTAGCATGTCATTCTCAGCATCTAGCAGAGTGGTACAAGTTGTTAAATATTTTAAAGAATGAGGTGAAACTTTTGTTCATGAAACTTTCGTGCTGCTTGTGTTCATCAAGTGGCCTAAACCAATCATAGCAGGGGCTCACTAGTTTATTTTTAAAAATAAATCAAAACAAAGTATAAGGAGCTCTAGAGGATAGGCTGATGTGTTTTGTTTGTTGTTTTACTTCTTTTTTTCCCTTTAGGAGAGAAAATTGCCCAGGATGTAGTTGGCAAAGGAAAAAAGTATTAGAGGCTAAATATTCAAAACCCGTGTCCCTTGTCTTTGGGGCTAAGTTAACTGTTTTGGGGTAGGGATGCTGGCATTGGTAATGTCAGTGATGAAGGATGAGAAACTCCATAAGCAAATAGGGCTCAACTCCGGGATGAGCCTCATTCACCTGGCAGTACACCTGGATAGTCCATGACTGACCTTCCGAGAGTGTTCACACATGGGACCAGCATTTCCCATTTGAGCTGCGCAATTGGCCTGATGGTGGCTTTGGAGTGGTTAGCGGGAAAACCTTTAAATCCATTAGTAGAAACCAGAAGCAGTAATGTTTGTAAGGTATATCATAGCTGTGCTGCTTCTAGTGTATTGTAGTTAGTTAGAAAAACTGCTAAAATTTATAGGGAGAACCAGTTTCCTTTGTGAAAATATAAGACCGTTTCTCGAGGGCTATCCAGGTAGCTCAGCAGACTAAAGTGCCTGAAGTGCCTGTTTAGACTGAGCACAGTGACTGGGGTTCAATCCCCAGCATGCTATGCCAGCCCCCCCCCCACCCCGGGGCACCCTGAGATGGCAATTAAGACTGGGCATGGTGGCACGTACCTGTAATCCCAGCACATAGAAGGCTGAAAACAGGAGGATCACTACCAGTCCTATCTACGTAGGCTAAATACATAAAGAGAACATTTTTCTCCTGAGTGGATGCTCTATAAAGGTCTTTACATACATGGCCTCATTTAACCTTGGTTAGAACCTTATGAAATAAGTTTTTACCTCTTTTTTTTTTTTACACATTGGTAAAGTGGGCTTTTGAGAACAAACTTGTCCATAGTAAGGTGATGCAGGAACTAAAGACAAATTAGTCTCCATTCTACTGAGTCGTTATGTCCATCGTTTGCAGTAAGGTCAGAGAAGAGAGGATCACCTCACATCTTTCAGTCTTATGTGAAAGCATGAAAAGGGAATTTGTATGACTTTCCCTCTAAGTGTTGACTTTTCTCTCAACTGAGATATCTGTATTCCTTTGGCAGCTACTTGAACCCAATCCAGACCAACGCTTTTCTCGCTTGAGTGACATTCAGAACTTCCCATATATGAATGATATGAACTGGGATGCAGTTTTTGAGAAGAGGCTCATTCCAGGCTTTATTCCTAATGTGAGTCAATCCTGACAACCCTGTAGTAATTTCATTTGGTGCACCTTACTCTGTGTGCATGACCCACATATTAATCACACAAGTGTGGGAGAGCCCAAATTCCTATGTTACAGAAGAGGAATCCAAGGCACCCGTGTGGTAAGTGGGTCACCAAAAGTCACCCCACCAGCAAGTGGCCTCACTAAGCTCAGTGCAGCTGGAGTTGGAGCTAATGATCCTCAAAACATTTTTGCTGTCTTTGTTAGAAATAAGTTCTAGTCTCCCAAATAGTATTTTCTACGAATCTTCTGGTTGAACAAATGTTGTCTAATTCCAAAGATTCAGTAATTCATGCCCAGGAAGGCTTGTGAAGTAAGAGAATTGCTCTTGAGGTGAGAGATTAATTTTTACTATCCACCCCTCTTTCTTTGCTAGTTTTTAGTTTTTGTTTGTTTGTTTGGTACTGGGGATTGAACCCAGGGCTTTCACACTGAGCTACATTTCCAGCCGAATTTTTATCTTCTATTCTGAGATGGAGTCTCACTAAATGGTCAAAGCTGAGTTTGAATTTGTGATACCCCTCCTTCAGCCTCCCAGAATGCTAAGATTACAAGTATGCAGTACCACACCTGAACCTTCGCTAGTTTTATCTCATGAGTTTATAAATTTAAGAACTAGCTACTAAAAAGTAATTCCCACTCAGCACCTAAGCCAAGGAACATCTCTTTGTCAGTGCACATTGCTGGTAAAGCCTAGGTCAACGAGCTCTGTGGTGGCTTCTAATTCCTTCTCTGGCTCAGCCTGGAACTGCATTATGCATTTGGTTTAAGGAACACATAATTGGGAAGAATACGGAGGAATAATGTCCCCTTACAGGACCTGTAGAAACAATTCAGAGTTCGCTCCGCAGGGCCTGGTGGGGCACTTGCTCTGGGCTGTGGAGATGTGCTAGCTCCCGTACACAGCTAGGCAGGGATGCCAGCAGGTGAAAATGTGAAGTAAGGGAGAAAATAGTTCTAAGGGTAGACTAACGAGAGAGACCCAGTTCTTTCTGGCCCTTACTGTAGGGTCCAGCAGTGAGGAGCTGTACCCTGTTTGGTGTCTCACACAATGGTTGTCTAGGTAGCCCCTTGCCCATTCTCTGTTTGTCATTCACATCACCCTAAGAGAAGCTTGGCTTAGTGGTTTCTCTGGTTTTACTGTGAATCTGAATTATCCAGGAGCTTATTAAAGGGAGCTCCTCAGCTCAACCTCCTGAGCAGAAGCCCTGGTTTGGCAGGCAGGGGGACCAGGACACAAGGATCTCTGTTCACATGGTCATCAGAAGAAGCCTTGAGAAATTCAGTAGCTCAAACTTGAGAAAAATCATTTAGTTCTGCTTTTTTATTTGGCAAGAGCTACCTGGAAATTTAAAAACAATAAACAAAGCATAATATTAAGGAATATGAAAAGTCATGCTGGCAATAACTAATAGAGCTTAGACCTGGAATCCAACCCTGTTCTCCTTACACTGCCCCGTTGAGGCCACTGTTAGCCTCTGTGTCAGGTTTGCTGTGCTCTTAGTGTGTCAGGAGGACCTGAACAGAGAGCCAACCTCTCTTCCTTGCAGAAAGGCAGGCTGAATTGTGATCCTACCTTTGAACTGGAAGAAATGATTCTGGAATCCAAACCTCTTCATAAGAAAAAGAAGCGTTTGGCAAAGAAAGAGAAGGAAATGAGGAAATGTGACTCCTCTCAGGTAACTAAAGCTCCACTGCACTGGGGTGAGAGGCTTGCCCAGGAAGGCTGTCACCCTGGAGGGCCACCGTCTCAACACCCTGGCTCTTACTAGAGGTGGGAGGGCTCATGCTAAGGGCTGGGTACAACCACATCTACCATGGTTCCAGCAGGCTGTGCGCAGGCTGCTCCAGAACAGCACCCATCAAGTGCTTGGAGGGGGATGGGTGAGTGGACCAAGACTAGATGCACTTTGTCACCCATACCTGCCCCATGGAAGCTCCCATGGCTTTGATACACTGCTGAGCTGCAGAACAGTCAGGTCAGACAGATTCACCGCCACGCTTGGAGAAGTGTAGGGATTCCTAACTGCCACCTACCTAGAGACTTCATTTAATCTCCATCTCAGAAGCTACTGTGGGGTTTAGTTTGGGCTGTTTGTGAGCAGGCAACCTGCAGGGTATCGGCTGTGTGAGGAGCCTCACTGACCTGCTAACCATTCCTCTGTTTGTTCCATTGCTCACCCTGTGAAGACGGGCCTTCTTCAGGAGCATCTTGAGTCTGTCCAGAAGGAATTTATAATTTTCAACCGAGAAAAGTAAGTCAGTATTAGGAGACCAGTCATGGAAAATGATGGTGTTTCAGGGATTTAATACATTTTCAGGGATTACATTATTTTTGAGCACTTTTTTAAAAAAAATTTTATAGTTACACAAACGATACACAGCCACTATGATTTTTTTGAAAAATACAGGAACCCTTTTTTGTTTTCTTATAAGGAATTTAAATTCTCAATTAGTCTAGCATGAAATTTTTGTCTATGGGAAGGGCAGGAGATGGGACACGTACATTTACAATCAATGACTTTTTAAGGTTTCCTTGGCTCATTCCAGTTTATAAATGGTTGGGTATATGCTAACATTTTAAAAGAGCTTAAGATTTGCATTCTTCTTCTCACAGAATAAAACTGTTCTTTTCTTTTTAGAGTAAAAAGAGACTTGAATAAAAGACAAGCAAATCTAGCCTTGGAACAAACCAAAAGCCCACAAGAAGACAGCCAGAACAACAACCTGTAAAGCCCTCAGTGTCTGCTTGAACATCTCTGGCATCTCAGGCCAGAAACTTCTGATTGTCCACTGCAGGAAGAGCTGACAGTAGTTCTTGCCACTGCACACCTCATGCTTAGCAATGTGAAGGCACATCCTTCGAAGGGTGCAGCATGATCCAGACCGGAGCTCCTGGGACCTCACTCCACTACTAACTCACTCTGTGACCTTGAGCAAGTCATTTAATCCCCTTTCTGCTTCAGTTCATCATCCAGAAGGAAAGGGGTTATACCAGCTGAGCTGTACCTTGCCATTTTACTGCCACAGTTGCTATTCTACATGGCCTTTGTATTTTAAAAGAAATATCTGGATGTAGATTTATTTTTCCATTCCTTCTGATTACACTGTGATGGATGGACACCGGATACAGTGAACTGTTTCAGAGCTAGAAAACCTCATAAAGAGGTCAAAATTGCAAAGCCTACAGAGGCAGGAATGAAGAGTTTCATGGGGAAGAAAGGCATTGGGTCAGATTACAGCAGCACAGGTTAGTCAGACCCTTGGTGCTGTGTGAGGAACCCATCCACCAGGTAGCCTGAGCTTGGCAGTGATGAGACGATTCCTAACATGGAAAACAGCAAATGCTACAAATCAGGGCAACTTTTTTCCCTTTCTACAAGCTAATCATTAATATTAGCACCCCACTTGCCTTCCTCCAGTGTGCATGATGTTTAATGGCCAGATGTCCCCTGAAAGTTAGCAGAGATTGGCTCCAGAGAGGATTACAACACTAGTAGTGTATTTAGATTTATTTCCCAATGTGGAGCAATTGCAAGGATGAGGAATACATTGTAAGTTAGAAGTGAATTTGCCACAAAGTAAAATTTATCCTTGGAAAATCTCTGTTATCCCTAATACCACGAAGGAAGCAGCTTTTCTCAGGGAGCCTGGCATGACAAGGTGCCCTTCCATAAGGAAAGAAGTCACTCATTTTATTTCATTCTTTATTCTTTATTATATTTTGCCTAATGTTGCAAACCAGAATACTGAGCAAGTTTTCCAGGACCAGAAGATTAGGAGTGCACCCAGAGCAGGAGGCCACTCACACATTTGTGTGCTCAAGTTCAGAGCAGCCAAGGGACAGCAGTATCATGTCTCATTTCCTTATGCTTACTGCAAGAATGGCAGGCACGATTGCCTATTTGAAATACTACTCTCTTTTTTCTTTACATTTTATTTATTTATTCACAAAGTTTAACTCACTTCAATGTGCATATAACTTCACTGTAGATCTTTACAGAAGTACTATTTTGAGCATCCCACCAATGACACTGGGTAGAATCCAGCCTCGAACAGGCTTTGTGGAGGATTGTGCTAACCTCTTAAGGAAAGATGTTCTAGACGGTCCCTGCCAATGCAGAGTACAGGCCTCCACGATAACAGTAAGGTAGCAGCAGAGAAGATCAGAATGTCGCCGCTTTGAAAAGCTGAATGGGTAGGAATAGACAAGAGAAGAGAGAGAGATAGCTGCCCACTGCTTCAGCAGCGATTTTAGAGGAAGGTCACATTAGGGCAGCTAATCATGGATGGAAAGCTGGAGTTCAGCATAAGATTACCGTGTATGAGTTAATAGACCCAGAATTTCTGTCCCATTTGTGAAATAATGCCTCTCTGCTTTAGGAGAAACCATGTTTTTGTTAAAAACAAAAACAAAAAAAATCATCTATGTGATTCCTTTTCTCTAAAGTTCCCATATGTTAGTTACCTATGCTGTTTAGAATTTTCCCCCCAAACATTACAAACTCAAAGCACTTATTAGGATTGATTTTTACAGAGAAGAATGGATTTAAAAGGAACAATGAAAAGGTGACTGAATTCAACTCCAGACCAGTAACACCACAAGCATCCAGTTTCCATCCTTTGGTCTTTTATTTAAACCTTGAGGTGCTGCGGACTTGGGTCTGCTGCCACCTGGTTCTTCCTCTTGCCGAGACCTTGCGCGCATCCTCAAAGGAGAGCTTTCCAGAAACATATACCAAGGGGCAGGGGACCTGTCCGTCCTCCAAGCTGAAGAGTGCTGACGGTGTGTGCTGTTTCATGTTTGTCCAGTTTAACTTGGGCGACAAGTCCGCACCATCTCTGTAGTTTGAGTCCTTTATTTTTATTACGAGTGAGATGATTTCTGTGCCTGAAACACCACTGTTGACTTTCAGAACCTGGACTCGCTGATGAGAGAACAGTGTTTGGTGATGAAGTGGGTCTCCCCTTCAGATGATGGGCCACAGTGTAATTTGAGAGAAAAAATAGGGGGGTGGACCAGTAGTTCGGTGGTGGTGGAGGGTGTACTTAGCACAGTGGGGCCTGGGTTTCACCCCTTAATTCAACAAAGATGACCCAAAAAAGCACTCATCAGCAGAATGACTAATTCAAAGCACCTGTGCATTTTAAAGACCAGCAAGAAGACTTTTCCAAAAACAAAACAAAACAAAACAAAAACGCCTAAAGCCTCATGCAGATTGTTGTTGAAATCAAATCTGTTGGGTTTTGTCCATATCTTGGGCTAAATGTTAATAGCCTACTGAATAGAATACATCTCATCTCAATTCCTGATAATGCTCAGAACCAAGAGCTTTTTAAAAACAGGATGACAAGTGCAATTCTTTTGCCTGGCACTCCTGTAATCTTTTCTCCTAACAGCTTCCTCTCTTATCTGCAAAGAGCATCTGAAAAGCCTGCCCAGGCTTTGAAGGTCACAACACTCTGATCACAGCCCCCTGGCACTGCAGCAAAACCTCACCTTCAGTGCATTTGGTGACCCTGGGAAGATTAGGGGCAGCCGAGCCCCAGAATCCTGGGGTGGGAGGTTGCTAATGCCATGCAGGGACATGTTGAGCTAAGGGATAACCCACCCCCATGGCAGCACTGGACAGGGGTGAGGTCACCACTAGGGCAGGAATGAATGTGAAGCAGCACACAACACTGCTAAATCAATTACAAGAATCTAATTACTCAATGGTAGGCTTCTTCGCTTAGATGAATTTTAACCAGAAATGACATTTCCTGTCATTATAGCTTTCCTAGATTGGATGGATGAATAAACAACTAGGAAGAGTATTAATGCAGCTGTGAATGAACCAGTGTGGCTGCTTGTGGCTGATGAGCGATGCTAAAGCTTAAGCATTCCAAAGGCTGACTGGAAAGGCACAGGAAGTTTTGTTTGCTTCAGAACCCAGCTGTCCCTGCATTCTGTCTACGCAGAACACCGTTTCCTACTTCTGTCCACCTGTGCTTCTTGTTTACTGTAAGCTCAGTGTGTCTGGGTATTAAACATTGATGTGAAAAGCCCAAACTTCACTTTTCTATGCTGTTATAAACTGGCAGCTTCACTGGCAGCCTTTGAATGAGAAATGTGCTTCTGTTGAGCTGTAGCATCTTCAATGTAAGTGTGCCTGTGTGTATTAAATGTCTTGTGCAACATTAAGCCACTGGCCTTTGTCAGCTGCGTCTACACTGTGTTTTCCCTAGAGATACTGTTGGGGGTACCAAAAGTCACCTGTTTTTCCTTTCATAACTTGCTGTGCATGTCCCTCAGCAGAGATAAGGTGGTGTTAGGAGTGGCATTCTGTAACGCTGAATGCAGCCCATCTGACCTAGCAACCTATATAAAAAGTAAAAGCCCTGACCTTGTAGCATTCACATTTCAGGGAACGCAGCCTGGGATCTCACTTTCTGTCTGTCACGATGACCTCCAGTTCATGGATAGACCATGAGCCTCTTTTTTCAGCACCCTGCCACTAGGGTCCAGTCCAATGCTATACATCAGAGTAGTTGTTCCAAGGCCCATCGTTTGTGATGGGCAGATAATGTAACTCTTGCTGCTAGAAGCAGCTTCTGCCTTCCTGGAGACCAAAGGGAGCTTTTAGCTTCCATCACAGCCCAATAGCTCAGCAGCTGGCAAACCACCAGCTCCTTGGCCTTTGCCCGGAATAAGCAGGCTCCTGGGATTCTTGTAGGCTGTCAAGTCCTGCCAGCTGAGTACTCCGCTGCCCGGGTCCTGTAAGTGGCCACTGTGTTGCTCTCAGTAGCCAGGTGGTGAAGGGCAGGCTCTAAACTCTTTAGATACTGAGATGTCCAGCCTTAGATAAGAAAGTGATTAAAAAGAACCACAGTGAATGCACATAGATTTAATGTATTACAGCACGAGACACATTGCCATTTTCATGAAAACACTCCACCTTCCTTCAAAGACACTTAGCTCATCCTAAGCAATTTTAGAAGGCTTGTTTTGTGACTCTTGAGTTGTGCTGTCCTGGCTGCCTTGTTGTCCTTCGTTGGTTCAAACCATTTGCTCTTCATGGTCATTTTGACTCAGGGGAAGAGGCAGAAGCGGCCCAGTGCCTGACTCGGTCAGAGCCAGTGAACGAAGGCACACTAACATTCATGTGAGCCTTTACCCGCTGTATTTTTGATCAGATCTCATAAAGACACTCATGAAATAGAACTTACCTGCTGCTGAATGTGGCAGGAATGATGAGATAGTCAAGTTTGAAGTGAGGGGGAATACTCTGAAAGGATTCAGGACAATATGCCTTTTACTACAATGAAGTGTTTACAGTGCAGCATGGTAGCACCTCAGAAGTGATACACTTCTGCGGGTTGCTCTGGCTCTTCTACCTTCTATTTCCTGGCCGTGGTTGGTGCCCCTTTTGTAGTGGGTTGGTGTTAGGACAGCTGATTCCAGAAGGTTCTTTGGAGCCCTTGTTCCTATTAAGTGATTTTATTTCTCCCTATTCATATGTGACTCAGCCAGTGACCTCCAGCCTAAAGAGGTACAAAAGTTAGTTGGTATATCCTCAAGCTGTCACTTCATCCCTCTGCAGCATAAGTTCCTTGTAAGTGCCCACTGCTTCCCTCAAGCCCTTCTGAGTCCTCAGGAGATCAGGAGGAGGCACTTCACTTGTTCCAAGTCTGAGCCATGAGACTGTGCATCACAGCATATTAAAAATCAAACCTTGGGGCCAGGGAGATAGCTCAGTAGAATAAGCTCTTGCCTGGCAAGCGCAAGAGCCTGAATTCAATCCCCGGTTCCTCACCACTCAAAAAAAGAAAATCAAACCTTGAACCTCAACTATAAAACATTTCTTGATGTGCCCTGGGGAACAGTTAATCTGGTTTCTGAGTTTATGTGTTATAACATACCCTCAGCTGTACAGCTGTATCAAAGACACCATTCTACCAAACCAAGAGGGACTCACATATATACTAGCAATTAATTAGACTCAGCCTCACTGGGATGCCTTCCCTGCTTGCCCCAGCCCGTGCACAAATTTGTCATCAGGCTCCACACTCATGCCTCACTGGCCTGAGAACAGTGCCACAGCTGTGCTGCGTCTGCCTTCCCAGCATCCGTCCCCTCTTTTAGTTCACTTTATCTGTGCAGTTCACAGCTTAGGTGGTCCCAGCCCAACAGCTGGGCCTGTGACTTGGCATGGCCCACTCAGTGTGGTCACTGGCCACTGGGGCCACTTTAGGGGCTACCCATGACCCATGGCAGAGAATAACTCAAGGCCCATCTCTGGCTAGAACTAAGGAAACCAGTCTCTTTTGAGACACACAACCGTTCTCTTTCACTAGGTGGAAGGGAAACCCAGTGATGCTGATGACCAGCTTTGCCTCCACATGAAAAAGGCTTTCATGCCAAGGAAGCACCTACTAGGGCCAGCAGGGCTGACCCGGAAAGAGTAGCATTCTGACATCAGCGCTTCTGTCCGCCCAAATCCATCCCTGAGCTGCTCAGTTGGACTAGCCTTTAAAGTTCTTCCTTCTAAACCTCCACCCTCGTCCCCCCACAGCAGTCCAATCTTTCCAGGGTAAACTGACCTGTACGAGTCAGTACTGGATTGAGCAACGTTTGCTTGCTCGGACTTAGTACAGCTGGTGTGATGGGATATGAAAACACTTTGCAAACCCTGGATTGGACTTTCATTCTGTTACTGTTTTGGCACACTGCCCACCTACCCCAGGGCCACGCACATGCAGATGAGTGTGTCACCACTGAGCAATGCCCCCAGCTCTTCTTGTCCTAGGGCTGCTCAGTTTAGTTTGCTGATATGCACCTTAGCTCTCGCAAGAGCCGGCACAGCAAACAATTGTTTTGAACATTTACTCCACCCCTTGAGGTAAGTGATAAAAAACAAACTTTTAGTTGGGAGTTTTGTTTTTTGCATACGTCTAGGCTTTCTGAAAGAAGAAGAAAAGCATGTTTACAAAGCAAACTGATTGCACAGCTTTAGGGATGACCAAAGAAAAATCTTTTTGGCTCTTTCCTGGACTTGTTTGGTAAGGCCTCTACATGGATACTAAATTTGATGATTCACAAGAAAATCCCAATTGTTCCAATAATGGTTGTCAGACTCTGGCCTCAACTAATGACTCAGCCTCAGTGAAAAAATGGAAACCACAAGACATTTTCTCTAGGTGACTGCTGTCTTTAGACGTGCCCCTCCAACTAACAGCTTTTGTGACTGTGTCCTTTGGACACGGTGAAAGGGTGCATCACACACAGAACACTAGAGAACAATGTTGATAATTTTACAGTTATTTTAATAACCAGGTTTACATGAACAGTCACTTGATGTACTTTTTTTCCTTTTATCTCAGCTAACTCAATACACAGTTTTCTTCACGGTTCAAACCCGACAGCTCTTCGAGTTCGCGAGTTGCCACACAGCTAGCACAGGTCACAGGGAGGGTCACTGTCTGTTCACACCCACCAGACACAGGACGGAACACCCACACACCACTTCGCAAAGGGAACTCACAGGGATGCTGGCTGCCCGGACAATCTGCGAGCGCAGAGAGGACTCACGCTGGGCACCAGGGCCAGGGGCCTGGGAGGCTGAGGCAGGAACTGAAGCTGAGAAGCGTCCACCCTGTGGGAAGGGGGGCCGGGAGGGGGGCAACGTGGAGCCCAGGCTCGGGCTGCAGGCTTTGGAAGAAGGGAAAGACTTTCTGGGTACAGCCATAGAGAACACCACCACAGAGCATGGACTTGGAAACGAAAAACCATCTGAGGTGTGACTACAACCCTACTCGTTTGGAAAAGAAACAGAAATCGCTGGTTAGCAATTCCACAGATGAATGGGCAACTGCCCTCCCCGTCTTTGGCCCCCTCACCAAAGCACTGCACTGGGATGGGCAGGTGGGGAAGCTGGGGAGTGGCAGGGCCAGCCTCAGAGGGAGCCAGGTCAAGAGGTGAGACAGAGCACCCAGCCCACCGCCCTACATCTGGGTGAAAGGCCAGCGGATCTGGAAAGAGGGCCCCTCTCTCTATTTCCTACCCCAAGCGCTTTGTACTGGGCTGGTCTACGGAACAGAACACATTTGAGCATGAATTTTAACGTGTTACTTGGTACTTTTAAGAAAATAAAGGAGCGCTTTGTAGGAATCTTCGAGAATCTTTATGCTTGAATGTTTTAATGGCAAGCAAAGGGAGGTTTCCTAAGAGAAGGTGCGGCCCATCCCAAGGTACTTTGAGGTTATCGCGATAGCATGGACAGCTCACGCAGAACGTAAAGTTCTGGTTAAATGTCGCATTTTGGGAGTCCCAAGTGCACTGCCGATGTCCAGTCAGCCCACGGAAGACTTACAGTCATGGCCATGAGAGCCCGTGGAGGGATGTGGGGCTCCCTGAACACAGCGGAGGGCATGGAAGTAGATGCGCACGTTGGAGTTTATTCATGTCTCTTTCCTTCCATCTGGTGGACACGGCGGGTACTGCATGCTTTCTAAAGCCCAGCCTGGAGGCTGAGGAGTAAGATTCAGGTTGGGCATACTCCCCTTGCATATAACGGTCATTGTGAAATCCTTGGTAGGCTCTCCAATATTTGAATCGTGAAGTAAAGATAAAGTTTTCTTTTTTTAATTCAACTTTTCTTGAAATAAAAGCACCACGAAGCCCTAACATAGCAAGATTCCCCATTAAGAATGAAAGCCTTCTTCATGGTTAGAACAGAAAGTAGCTTGCTACAGAAAATGCTCGTTCCATTTCTAAACTGTTTGAAGCTAAGTGGTCACTTTTCTCTGGTCTTTAGTTTATTAAAATCTACAGTCAGGGCTTGGTATAGCTCAGTGGCAGAGGGCTCACCTAGCATTTGGAAGGCACTGGTTTTAATCTCCAGCACCAAAAACAGCTGCAGCCAGAGACATTGGTTTCTCCTAAGCACTTAAAAGGTGTGTGAGGCCTGCTCTGCTCTTCAAAGTACTTAGTACACAGGGCTCTACCGGCTGGGTGCACCAGGGCACAAAAGTAACCCCAGGCTTAGGGTGTTCTTCCGGTGCAAGGAGGGGCATCTTGGGTTCGATCAGAATCTGCTCCAAAATTGAGTTTTCAGAAGTGGCCTGAGGGCTGATGAAATGGTTCAGCAGACTAAGTGCCTGCTTAGGCAAGCATATTGACCAGGATTTGATTCCTGGCACCATGTGCCACATCGGTCCTGCTCCCAGGCATGCTGAGTCACCAAGACTGGGCGTGGTGGTACATGCCTGTAATCCCAGCACTGAGGAGGTTGAAAACAGGAGGATCACTAAGAGTCTAAGCTACATAGTAAGACCCTGTACCAGGGTGGGGGGGACCTGAGAAGGACATGGACACTGCTCTGACAGACAGGCTATGTGAACACTCCACTAACTCCCTTCCTGTACCCCATCAGGAAAGCACGTTGTGTCATATGTCACTGCAACTCAGATTTTGGTAACAAAACAAAGGTTTCCCCAAGGATCTGCTAATGCAAGAGGACACTGATGGCTTAGAACTGAGAAACAGAACCAGGCTTGCAAATATGTTCTCTCTGGTTAGGACTGGCTTTCTCAAATTCTGCTTGATTCCCACATAAGTTGACAGTACCTATTAATAGTAAAAGTTAAGAAACTAAAACAAAATTGATTTAAAAATCCTATGCAGTCACCAATGTGCGTGGTTCTCAGAGATCAAGAGAACCCTGCACCCACCACTGGCAACGGAGGCCCTTCCTTCTTTGCGCCCATTGGAGCTAAAGCTCCAAGGTGGGTGCCACCCAGCAACACCCCCTCCCCCCCAGCAGCTGGTCAAGAGGTGCATCTCAGCTTCTGCTGCCTCCACCCAAGAGCCTGTGCTATTTCCTCTTTTGCCTTTTAAGAGCACCATAGAGGTGGGGAGGACAAGGGGAGAGGTGCATCATTTGCTCTTCTTGATCCAACCTTCCCCACCCAGGAATGAGGAGGATTTGAAAGCAACACCGAGAAAGAGGCCCAAACAAACACTGGTATAATCAAGCAGGTGGAAGGACTGGTTGGGTTTTTGGTGTTTTAATAAATGTTCAAAGAAACAAAATCTCCTAGGAAGGGACAGGACAAACCCAGAACCCAAAGACTAGTCTACCTTCTCTGCAGATCCTCAGGGACCACAGTAAGTGACAGCTGCCAGAAGTGGCCCCTCCGGAAATAAACGTGCATCAACACAGTACACAACACCCCCTCTGCTCACCCAGCCCACCCACCTCCCTCCTACACACCCGACCCCGTCCCCTCTGTGCCCTCCACCTTGCTCTTGGTTCCCACCACCCCCTTGCCCCAAATAACCTGCGTCCCCTTTGTTCTTTTCCCTGACCTCCCAGCTTCATCTGTCCCCTTGTCGTAAGATGCAGCACTACACACGCTCTCAACACTAGAATATAGCAGACTTTTTTTTTAACCTTAGCGGCCTGTCTGATTGCATGCATGTAAATGGGGCAGAAGATCCAACAAATCAAGGCTATGCATAAACAAAACAAAGCAATATTCGTAAAGCTAAGCAAGCGAGCTTAACATGGAGAGACATAAGGCTTGAGGCTTCTTGATTCTTTAGATAGCAACCGTTTAGACTTGCTTTCCTGCTTAAATATTGGTGTACCAATTTGGCTTCAGAGAAAATCTCTTCTTGCTTCTGTCCCCCTTTGGGGAGAGGTTGCTTAACTCAGAGATGTGATATTAGAGCGGCCTCCAGGGGGCGCCACGATGCGCTTGCTGGCTGAGCGGACCCCCTCATCCACTTGGGTGCCTGCAGGTAGCAATCCCCAGGAGGGAGGGAAGAAAAAAAGGAAAAGAGAGGACAGGGGAATGAGCAAAAGAGAAACGGACTCACTGTAGAAGTGTAAGACACGAAGTGCCTTCCTGCTGTGCCAGCTCCCAGGAAACTTACAGCAAGTCATGATTTTTTCATATTCATTCTCCCATTCCGGAAAAGAAGTACCTCGTGGAAGGAAAAGCTAAGTTCTTATCAAGGTTTCACCTGCCCCTCAGCATGGTATGAGAGCAAGAAAAGGAATGATAGGGACGTAAAACACAGCTCCTTTCTCGAGCTGTTTCAAGAACTCAACTGTCACCTCTTTGTACCTTCAGCACCATGGCTCCAGGGAGAAGCCCCACTGCCGCTGCTCCTGCTCCCAGAGGACGGGGCTGGGGCTCAGAAGGCTGAACACTTGCTGAAGGTCTCCCAGTCCCCCGGAAGTGGCTCCTTAAAAGGAAGCCACGCCCTCGTGGGTCCATTCAGAATGCAGCCTCTAGGACCCCGGAGCAGAGGGAACTCCAAACATTAAAATGCTCCCAAAAGCTGCTCTGAGTCCGCAGGCTGAGAGCTCTGGTAAAATTACCCCAAAGCCTGAATGCTCTGGTGTTGGTCTGCCTCTTCTGCTTTTCTTTCTGTTTCTTTCCTTTTTCCCTATATGCTGTGATTTTTTTTTTTTTCCCTGAAATATCTTGTCTGGTTCTCTCGCTTCCCTCATATTTACTGTCCATGATAAGGACACAAATCTATCATTCTTCCCTGCTTTAAGATCATTGGCTATGGAGCAACAGAAGAATTGCGCTTCATTTATTTCAGAGCATTCTTAAAAGAATAAATAAAATTATGGGGTAAGCTGTGGTGAATGTTCAATCAATGGAAGCTGCTGTCAGCATTATTACTAGTAGAGAGGAGAGCATAGCCTACAAACCCTAGACTAGAAGAAGCTAGCAATTTGAACAGAAGCATAAGGTGAACTTTCTTTAAATCTGTACAAACTTTCAAAGTTAACACTATATATTGTATAGTTTTCATAGGTTAACACAAAAAATCATGGATTCAGAGTGAAAACCAGCTCCCTTGTTCTGTCCCCAACCAGGTCTGGTTTCTAAACAGCTGTGCTCATTTGGCCTTAGTCTCTAACCTGCTGGTGGCTTGTCTGACTTTCTGACCAGGACCCCTTGCTGACCCTCTTGCTTGCCCCAGTAACCTTTAAAGAAGATGCCAGTCCTGGGCTGGAACATGCGTTCCAGGAAAGCTCCCAGGATCACCCTGAGGCCCCAGGGCACTGGTTTTCCCCTTTCCACCTCCCTCCACCCTGACCAGCTTGTCCCACTCACCTGACAGGCTAAAGCCCGACTGATGGAGATTCCTCACGGGTGGGTTGGGCCGGGTGGGAGAGCCCCGGGTAGAGCCCGCAGGGGTGCCCCCTTTGGGGGTGGTGGTCAGGTCAAACACGGGCCCATCATACATGCCCCTCGGAACAGCGTGCAAGTCTGCCATCTGTGGCCAGAGAAATGACATGTCACCCCTCATTCATTTGACAGTTTAGGGCCTAATTGTGTGTGCAGGAAAGGAGGGGATGATAATGATGAAAGTACTTTAAGGGAGAAATAGTAACAGTAAAGAAAGACATCATGATTAGATTGAAATGGAAGTAGCCCCCAAGGTCCTAAGTTGATGAGCTTCCATCTGCAGGACCAAAGGATGCTCTTAGAGGCTTGGGCTTTGGGGAGGGATAAGGCTGGGGGGGAGATGCAATTGGGTAGTGTGATTGGGAGTGCAGCTCACAGGGAGCAGCGAGTGCGGTTCCCATGGTAGATGGCTACAGAAAGGAAGAACCACGGACACAGCACCTGGAGTGCAGGGAGGGGCAGCAGGCTGAGCCGACATCATACACATCAGGCATGGGCTGGGGACCCAGGGCTGAGGAGCCAGCCAGAAAGATAGCTGAGCACATGCTCTGTGCTGGGCACCACTGACCACTGGGTTCACGGTCACACGAAACATAGTGGCTTCCCCAAAGGCTTCCAGCCTATCAGGCACAGCAAGACCACCCAAGGCCGGAGCAGAGCCAGCTCTGGCCTCCCATGTGTGATCAGTGGCCAGCATTTGGCTGGGCCAGCACAGGGACCCGTTCTGCTGCTGCACTGTCCTCCTGGCTTGTGATTGGGGTGCAGGTATAGAAGTCACGCTCAGCTAACATGCAAGCACAGTGACTCGCAAATGATTTCATCACACCAGTGACTCTATCTCACTGTCATTTCTTTGGTTGTGGAGTCTGATTCACGCTAATGAAGAGACGGGTAGACCTAGAGAGCTGAGTTCCATTTCCTTCTCTCTCAGGCAGACCCTGTAGTGCGAATCTGGTCTGACCTTGCTGTGTGAAGCCCCTTGATTACAGAAAGGAGACTCTGAGTTGCGGGCGGGAAGAAGCCGTGCCAGGAAACGGCTGAGCCTCATCCTTAAATGAATTAGGGCTATTCACATATGTGTGGGTGCATGTGTGTGCATGGGCATGTGTGCGTGCATGTATGGATGTGTGTGTGCATGTGTGTGTACAAAGTCAGGGACATCAGTAAGATTTTATTTGAACCACAGTAGCTAGCAGTTGTAAGCATGAGCCCACAGAATAGCTCAACTCAGGCGGGGGCAGGGACCAGTGAGGATACACTTCCGTTTCTTGTTTTAAACCTTCATATGGGATTGCTTTTTGAGAATTTTTAATTCATTTTTTACAAAAACTACAACAGATTATTCAAATTTTAAATCATTTTAAATATAAAATGTAAGGAAGTTATCTGGAAAATAGCCTGTTTTCAAATCTCCCTTTCATAGCAAATTAAAGGCTGGCTCTTTAGGTTGAGCACACCGCTGAGATTTCTCTGCGCAGTCTGCAGGAGTCAGGCTCTCAGATCCTAGGGTCCCCCTGCCTGGGCCTGCACAGGTCACGCTGCTCTTTCCCCTCCAGTCTCCACCCGCGCTTACCCTCCTCCTGGCTTTGATGCGTTTGTAGACATAGTCAGAGAAGGGGCCGCATGGGATGAAGCGGCCGGCCCCCTGGGTCACGTGCAGGTTGCCGTCTTCCAGCATGATCTTGCCCTGGCAGATAACCACCAAGGGCGCCCCACGCAGCTCCATGCCTTCAAAGATGTTGTATTCGGCAGCCTGGGGGAGTGGGGGACAAAGGCATGGAACAAGCGAAGGAAGAGAAAGATCGCGGTCACATTCTGTGTTTGGGAACCTGCTTTCGGTTTCTAAAAAACCAGGTAGGCAAGAAAAATTCACACAGTGACTCTGAAACCTTTCAGTGGCCAGAAGGGACCAAGATGCTCACGCTTGCTAAGAGAAACTGGCCTTGTAGCACGGAACAGTGTCCAGTCTTTAATAGAGTGTGCAAGCGGAGGTCCATCGCCGTGGTATTCAAAGCAAAGCTGAGTAACAGCAAGTCTGGTGTTGAGTGTTACCAGAGGGGGCCCTGTAGCCATTGGGCCCCTGCTAGCTCAAAATGACAATAAGTGTGTGAGCAAAGGTCCTCACACCAAAAACGGGGTCTCTCTGACTCCTTCCCTGATTAAGGGGAGACATCACTGTAAAGTGGCTGAAAACATCAGTGGGCAGTCGGACCCTCAGGGGTAAACAATGCCTTTCCTACGGGGGTGCAGCAGCGATTTCATTCCTCCATCCCTGCACCTCCTTTCCTACACAGTGCGGGTGCAGCAGTCACCGCCTGCGGAGGGTTGTGCTGGAGAAGCGGTGAGCTACAGGCCCAGGGACTGAAACCCAAGCGCTGAAACGTTTTTCACTAAAGTGAATGGAGTACCTGCTGTATACACTGAGCGCTGGTTATTATTATGCACACGACTGACAACATATGAAAAAAGTATTTATAGTCTTCCTCCTCTCAAAACAAAGAGACTCAGCCTTGGAAAGCCTGAGAATGAGCAGAGGAGGGAGGTCTACCAGCCCTTCCCTCCAGGGCCTTGAGGGCAGCGCCCTGTGCCGGGGGTCGGCTGGGCAGGCCGAAGGGCGGCACCCACAGGGCGAGCTGAGTTCCAGCCTGCCCAAGCACACCCACACACGCACCCGCTCCTCAGCCCCCCGTGGGCCCCCTCCCCCCGCCCGGTCCTACCGACTGGTGGTTCTTAGCAGAGACTATCTTCACGGCGTCTGGATCCCAGATGACCAGGTCGCTGTCGGAACCCACGGATATTCTCCCCTTGCGGGGATACAGGTTAAAGATCTTGGCAGCATTTGTGCTTGTCACGGCCACAAACTGGTTTTCATCCATTTTCCCGGTGGCCTGGTGACATAGAAAACATTCTTTGTCTAGGGTCTACGTCACCTCATGGACCCGTGCAGGATTTCTGCTCTGATAGGGAGAAGTGGGTGATGGCCGCCCCGCCCTGCCCAGACCCGCAAAGCCTGGGGCTCCGGCGCACGCGCGGGTGTGTGTGTGTCCACTCAAGGAATACGCAAGGTCTCACCGGTCGGACAGCAAAGGCCATCCCCCGGCAGCCCAATTAGGAGATTTTCACGTGCTCTTTACTGAGGATGTATCATGTTGCCAATTAAAATACACAGCGATGCATCACTTAACAGGAGGGGGTGCACCGTGTGGCCCCCATGGAGAATGAACACCACACACTAGGATGGCTGAGATAAAAGTAGGCAATATGATGTTAGGGGACCCCTTATGTAGCTCAGTTTTGGCTGAAACACTACTATGTAGCAGTGTAGGTATGTATATGTTACCTAAAATCATTTCAACAGCGCAAGGACACATACATATATCATAAATACAAAATTGAAAAAAACAGATGAAAGCTAACCATGTAAAAGAAGAGACAAAAAATAAGCCCCTATCTTTTCTAATTTCTTAAAAGTAAGGAAAGATCTGAATTTAAAATCTAGCTCTGAGCTCCCTAGGAGGCAAGGAGAAAAATGCCTCGGTGGATAAGACAGTACAGAGACTATGCATATTTGGTGCTGAGAACAGGAAAGTGATCAAGATCATTGAGTTGATTATAAATTTTATTAAAATTTTCACGTCATTTGTTTCCTTGGCTGTTGCCTTTATCAGTCCTTGTGATATGAGTAAGGAGAACAGGACACGGCCGCTTTGCCAGACCCTGACAGATGATGTCTTACAGAGCTGGATGCCTGTGTCCTCAGCACAGGGCACAGTTGGTGGGCAAACTGACCTGAGACAGACTTTTAGCTTAGCATTTCGAAAGCACTATTTCTAGCCCTTTCAAAAGAAGTCATAAAACTCTCAAAGAATGAATTCACTAATATTTTAAGCACAGATTATGTGTATAATCCATGAAGGAGCTGTACATCTGGGTTCCAGTTGTGAAGATTCCAGGTGAGGAAAACTTCAGAATCCTGGACCTAGGGGTTTATCCCTAGGAGGTAGACTCCTGGGCACCCGCGCCACCAGCTCGGCATATCCCAGCAGATGTGAAGTACACCTTGCCCTCCGTGTCCTCACCAGCCATAGAGAAGCAGCAGCTCTGGCCTGTGACCTGGCCTGAGGCTACTTGTTCCCTGGCCACCCAACCCATGGCCTCAGCCCCTCACCACAGCCTTGTCCCAGATGACTGACATCCGCTCCTCCACGCCGTTGGTGCCCTCGGGGATGGCTGTGAAGTTGTCTTTTCCAATGGCTTTCTGAGCAGTGCTGAAGGTGCAGTGGGCACTGCCAGAGAGTTGCAGGTCACCACTAGAAGGGAGAAAAGTGCCCCGTGAACAGGTGGCATGGCAGGGCACAGGAGACCAGAATCTGCTTTCTAAAATGAGGATTTAGAGTCCTATTTCAGTTTGTAATTCCTTTTCTACCCCTGACGAGCTGTGTGAGTTTGGGTGTGTTTTGAACTCTCTCTGGGCTCAGGTGCTCATCTGAAAAATGAGGGGGTGGGATTAGATCATCTCTTTGTGAGCAAAATGAAAGGGACTTACATGAGTGAGGGCCTGATCCTACATGTCCACCAGGGGCAGTAACTTTAATTTTGGCTAAGAGTCATAACAAAAATTTATTTGAATTTAGGAGGCAAATAATTTCAGCTCTTTGACCTTCAGTTGCTTAATCTGTCAAGTGGTGCTAATAGAGCCTGACTTGTAAAGTTGTGATTAGGAAAATGTGAGGTCATACGGGTATTAACTGCTCTGATCATTATGAACATCATTCCTGTGTGGTTTCATTTGAAATCTGGGAAGGGCTTGTTTTCCACGCCCCAGGCTGCAGGAGAATTTCGCACTGCAGATGGCAATGCTGTGAGTGGAAGGGATTACCCAGTCCACCCCAGCTGGCCCCAGGTGTCCCCACAAAGTGCCTGTGCCCACCTGGCCAGCAAGGAGTTGATGTAGTCAGGAGTGGTTGGGTCCGGGCTCAAAGGCGGGGATGTCACGAATGCAGCAGCCTTGGCCCAGTTCTTGCTCCAGTAGTGGGTTCCGTCTATACCAAGGCTGGCAGTGATGGGCTCACCAAAGACTACATTTCCTGGATGAGGGAGGAAACAGGTAATGGGTGCGCATGCTCCTGGGCCTGCTGCAGGCTATGGCTCTGGAGTTAGGCAGACCTGGGTTCGAGTCCATGTTCCCACTTTTTTTTAAATTAACTTTATTGGTATAATTTAGGTACATACAATGATCACATTCACTGTAGGGAATCTGTACCTATACATGTTGATTTGTCTTTTCTCCCTCCCATCTTCCTTCCCTAACTCCTTTTCCCCTTCTTATTTACAAAGCTTCTTTCCATTGTATTAATCTTTTCAAATTTTTTCCTTTTCTTCTCCCCCATTCCCCTTTTGATTAGTTTCTTTCCATTTCACCATCTCTATTGTACAGTTTGGTTCTTACTTATACTTTCAGTTCCCGGCACCAGTGACACAGTGTGGTATTTATACGTGACTGATATATTTCCCTTAAAGAGTATGGTCTCAAGGTACATCTTTTAGCAATAAATTTGTCAAGCTTATCCTTCCTTATGGTTGAGTAATTACTATATTTTAAAAAAGCATCTTTTTATCTATTCATTGGTTGATGGGCATTTGGACTGTTTCTACCAAGGTTTAGCTATTACAAACTGTGCTGCTATAAACATGGGTGTGTATATATCATTGTAATATGATGGTCTTAATTCTTTGGGGAAAATACCAAGAAGAAGAATAGCTCAGTCAAATGGGACATTAATTTTAGGTTTCTGAGGAATCTCCACACAGATTTCCACAGTGGTTGCACCAGTCTACACTCCCAGCAACAGTGGAGAAGGGTTTCTTTTTCCCATAGCTCCACCAGCATTTGTTACTGGCTGATTTCTTGACGACAGCCATTCTTTCTGGGGTGAGTTGAAATCTTAGTGTTGTTTTAATTTGTATTTCTCAGAGGATCAGTGATGTTGAACAGTTTTTCATATATTTATCTGCTATTTTTATTTCATTTGAGAAGTGTACATTCATTTCAGATGCCCGTTTTTGCATGGGGTCTTTGAATTTAGGGGATCTGATGTTTTTCAATTTTCAACATAGTCTAGATAATTAGTTCTTTGTCTGAGAAGCAAGTTGCTAAAACTGTTTCCCAATCTGCAGGTTGACTTTTCACTCTATTGGTAATTTCTTTTGTGATGCAAAAGTGTTTTTTTTTTTTTTTTCTTTAGAACTGGGGATTGAACTCAGGCCCTTGTGCTTGGCAAAAGCTTTTTAATAAGATGAGATCCCAGTTGTTGATTGTTTGTAGTATTTCCCATGTGATGAGTTTTGTTCATTAATTCTCTGCCTACACCTATGTCCTTAAGGGTTCTACCTACTTTCTCTTCTAGCAGATGTAGTGTTTCTGTTTTAATATTTAAATTTTTGATCCATTTTGATTTTAGTTTAGTGCATAGTGATAGACCACAGTCTGGTTTTAGTTTTCAATGTGTGCAGAGACAGTTTTTTCAGCATCATTAACTGAACAAGCTATCTTCTAGTGAACACATTTGGCCCCTCTGTAAAAGATAGGGTGGTTCAGTGTGCTTGGAGTTTTTTTCTGCATCTTCTCATCTGTTTCATTGATCCTTGGGTCTGTTTTTTTGCCAGTGCCATTCTGTTTTTATCACAGTACATTTGTGATGCTCCCTGCCTGTCTTTGTTACCCTGGATGGCTTTTGCTATTCTGCCTCTTCTGGTTCCAAATGAATGTTAGGAATGTTTTCTCTTATCCTGTGAGGTACTCTAATGGTATTTTGCTTAAGATTACATTAAGTGTGTACAACAATTTTTGGACTACGGTCATTTTCACTATACTGTTTCTTTCTACACCAAACCAAGGAATATTCCCATCTTTTAAAAGTCTTTGCTTTTTTAGCTGCTAAATTTGAACAATATTGTATTCCCTGGATAAGAAGCATCACTGGTTATGAGATGCAGCATTAATCCTCAAATCTGGAGGCAAATTAAAATTTTAGGCAAAGAAAACAAAAATGCATTGATTTCAAGATTTATCTTCATTTAAGAAATACCAAAATGCTTATCCTAGAATTGATGGACCAAGATGATGCCTACACGTGAGGCTTGAGAAATGAAAGGATGGAGCAAAAGAGAGGTGTGTGTTACACAGCAGGTGTTCAGTAATAGCTGATTCCGTGATAAGTCCTGAAGTCCTGAAAATACCTCCCCTCATTGGGAATTTCAAGATCGTTCTGATACATGGACACATGTTGGGTCCACAAAGTGAATCCATTCAGAGGTGTTCATGACCTTTTTCAGCATTTTTTGCTTCTTAACCTAAAGCAGAAAGAGATTTGCTCAAGGAGCCTGGGTATATCAAAGGTGAGGCTGGCTTCTTGGTTTCTTTGTCAGGAGCCAGGTGCTTAAGTGAGGAGAGGTGAGAGAGGACACAGAACAGAGCACTGCCCTAGGCTCTGGCTGAGCTTCTTCACGAGGAAGGACAGTAACACAGAAGGCAACTGCTGCCTCAGAAGGTAGATGGTGCCCAGCTTCTCCACGCCAGCTGTTCATGGGTCAGGGATGCCCTGCACAGCTGGGGCTCCTTATGTTGGTCCTTGGTGCTCCACTGTCCAGGTTCGCACTGGTCAAGCTCCAAGAGTCTCTAGGGCAGGATTATAAAGAAGTTGCACCTTGTTTCAAGTCCATTCAGTTGGTAACTAACTGGAATTCCAAGAGGGAAGAATTTCAATAATGCTTCCTGTCTCTCTACAAAAGACTCCTGACTGCTGAGTGATGTCAGCCACAACAAAAGAAGCCCTGGCAATAATTCCGGCATGGCAGCCCTGCTTTACCAGGAGGTGTTAACAAAGCCTGTCCTATAACTGATGAGGCTTTCAGGCTCGCAAAAATATTTCCCAAAATAAAGCATCCAAGGCCACAAAGAAATACAAAAAGAGTCAAGAGGAACACCCAACTACTATTCAAAGAAATACAACCCTGAAAGTGGACGACCAATCTCTCTAGACTGGGTGCTTCCCAGCAGAGCAGAAAGCAAATACTGTCCTTATACTTGGGCTTGAACGTGAGGCCATATAGCTGGGAGATCCGAGTCAAGCTGCACTCTAAATTTCTTCATGTGAAACAGGATAAGAAGGCCCGCATGACATGCCTTAGTGCTTCCTGAGATCCTGTACAGTTTGAGCTGGGCATCGCATTGGTCCTCACTAAACTGAAGCTCCCTAACCCCCATTCTGAGCAGCCTTGCAGAGTTATTCCCAGATGGAAGGTGACTGCTTTCCTCTGGAGCTAAACAGACGTGGCTCCGAGGGAAGCACAGTCCTGCTGCACTGTCTGCCAGCTGGGGATGCTTGGGACTCTATTCCTGAGAAAGTCAGTCTGAGATGCTTGCTGGCTTCAATCTCAGCAGTTTTTCATCATGGAAAGAAAACATCCCTCCACCCTGGAGACACAGCTGCACTGGGTCTCTCTGCCAGGGAATCATGAGCCAGAGGCTAAAAGGAAGAATTTTCCTTTTTTAATTGTATTTTGTTGTTGCAGGGTCTCACTATGCAGCTCAGACTCATGGTGATCTTCCTGTTTCAGCCTCCCTAGTGCTAGGATTACAGGTGTCCACTACTATGCCCAGACTGCCTGGCTCAGCCCACCCTGGAGGCAGGGCTGGCAAGCCATGTGGTCCTGAGGATCCAACCCACAGTCCCTGCACTTGCCTAAGCTTGCCTAAGCAGGCACTTTAGTCCACTGAGCTATCTCGCTGGCCCCTCTTTGTGAACTTCGAAATAAGAGAAGCATTCAACTGAAACACCCCATCCTTGGAGATCTCAGGTCATCCTGGGGGTGGGTTCCTGGAGTGATGCAGCTACCAGCACAGTGTTGAGTATGATGGGTGGTCCTGGCTCAAAGGATGTGGGTTCAGGGTGGGGTGCGGTCCCTGCACAACCCCTCTCCCATTTCCTTTCCCCAAGAATGGGTAACAAATGCTGCTTTCCTGGTTCTCACCCAATGATTTATGCCCAGTGGAGCAATGCTGCCATGTCAGTTGAGGCACTTAAGTGCTGAGACAGGAGCAGCCTACCATGAACATAGTGAGGGCAGATACCCCGAAACTGCCAGCTGGACCTGGGCAGTCAGGAAGAACGTCCTTCGATTAGGAAAGGGTAGCCCGGGGCCAGAAGGCCATGCAGCTGACAAAGCAGCCAGCAGGGTCAGCTGGAGCTGTTCTAGACCCCAGCCACCCACATGTGGAATTTCCCAGGCCATTCTGGCAGATGAGCCCTCATCTTGGCGTCTGCAGCGCCAGGCTGGCTGCCAACACACGGCAGTCATGATGGCGCAACCGGGCCCCGCCGATCTTCCTTCACGCCCAGACATGCAGCCATCTCCAGTTTTTCAGCCACACTGCTCACTCGACTCACAGAGTCGAGCCCATTATTCCGCCTCTGAGGATGAGAACCAAAATGAGGGAAGAAAGCCTGGAAATGGGAGTAAGCTTTAGCTGCGCACTAGGGAGCTGAGGGCCAGGTTAACAGCAGTGGAGAGAGGAAACAGAAAGTCAGCAGGGGCCGGGGCCTGTGCTGTGAAGGCCCTGGTGGTGGGCATCTGTGCAAGACCCACTCTGCCCAGCTCCCAAGAGAACCCACACTGACCTCTGTGGCTGGCTGGGTGACCCTGTGCTGTGTCCTGCCTGCAGCCCTGGCTCAATCGTACCATCATCCCTAGCACAGGGTTTGGTTCAGGAATGAGCAAGTGACCCAAGCAAAGGCAGTCCCTGTGCTCCTGGCCTCTGTCCTTGTCACTGTTCACAATGACAGCAAAGCCCCCAGGGAGGAAAGAGAGCCAAGAACCAAGTAAGAGTGATAGATACCTTTGTTAAAACCCCTCAGGAAGGCCAAGCATGAATACCCACAATCAATCCCAGGCGTCTGTTTGCTTGTTTAAGCTAGTTTGGGCTGGATCTTTGACTCTGGCACACTAGTAATCTTGACCAGTGTGCAAATTTATAAAGCTCACATAATGTGAACTGGGAATGAAAGGTCGCATAGAGAAGATGTCAGGTCCCCTAGTAATCTGTTCAGGCTGTGTCATCCTAGGCAAGCCGCAGAACCCTCCTGAGCCTCAGAGGGGAGGATCTTGGTCCTGAGTGTGCACTGAGGTTTCCGAGTGAGCACAGCAGTGAGCAAAGCAAGCACCATTTCTATTGTACAGGCAGCCAGGGGAGGAAGGGACCAGAGAGTGTCGCAGGGGCTCCAAGAACATCCGTTACCTTTTTTCCTGGCTTGTGAGATGAGATCAGCTGCACTCTTGCTCATGACCTTTGTGATGTACAGGGGGCAGTTGGTTTGGCTGGCAATGGTGATGGCACGGAACACAGCCTCAGCTTCCAGCTGCAAAAAAGACCACCAACACACACACACACACACACACACACACACACACACACACACACGAGTCAACAGGAACCCAAGCCTTTCACCCTGGCCACTCATCCACCTCCATACAAGGGAGAGTACAGCACTGTGCACAAGTTTAAAACTGAGAAGGACCTGGACTTAGACACCTGGACCTGCACCTCAGATCCGTTACCTCCTAACTCTGTGCTTTTCTTAGCTCGTCAGTGCCTTTACCCCTCTTGGCTAAAACAGGTAAGAGAAACACAGCATAGGGCTGGGTCCGAGAGCAACGCCTAACGTGGAGTCAGCACTCACTCACTGTCCCCTAGAGCTCTTAGCCTTCTCTCTCCTCTCCCTGTCACGATCACATAGGCTGTACTTGAATGGGGGTCCATGCTCTCCAATATTCTCAAGAGAGATTCTCTGAGAAAATATCGTCAAGTGTACAATAATCAGTCAAAGCAATCAGGCATCACGGCCCCTCCAGTGCTTTCCTAAAGCAAAAACTGGCCCACCGATAGTGAATTCTAGGGAGCACTTCTTATAAACATAACCTCCAGGCTTCTCAGCACAAAGACTGCTTTTATTATTGATTTCTTCCATCCCACCCTCATGTAGAATTCATGTTTTCAAATAGACTTTCCAACCCCGTTCCATTTGTCAAGCAACAAGTAATGAGATTTCCGTTCTTCATTAATATAGGAGGGTCTGAGAGCTCAGGGTGTGTCAGATGGCATATTTACGAGTCAAGTACATCACACAACCTGCCTCAGTTTCCTTGTCTGTAAAAGCGGGGATACTAACATGACCTGACACTCAGGGTTGCTCAGAGGATTGAGTGAGATAGTTCCTGCGATCAGTCACTTGGCTTCCAGGACAAGTCAAGGGGCAGTCTAGGTGGTGATTAGTTCCTGACCAGCGTGAGTCTGTTCTTACTCCAAGCCCCGATCAGTCCTATGCAGCCTGGCACCCTGCTGCTGGCGTTTTTCCATCTGATCACCATCAGCTCCTTTTTTAAGAATGTGACTTTCTGGTTAGCCTGTGCAGTCCACTGCTTAGAAACACACCAAAATAGCTTACAGATGCCCGGTGGCTGTTTAATGCAAACCAGCCCTGCCTGGGATTCAGCAGACTGGCCCTAGAACTTGGGGGGCTGAGCGGGCACCCCCCAAGCTGTTCTTCATTTGGTGAAGAAAAGGCTAGTAGAAGTCCCTGAGTGCCGCTGAACACTGCCAGCCCAAAGCCCCCCACTGCACCCTAGATCCCTCGGGTTCCACTCTGCAGAGCACCACTGGATAGGGTGTCCTGGGGTGCTTTCAAAAGAGGCGGGCTGGCTCTCCCTGCTATCCTGCCCCTTCACACCTCTGCTGACCACACAGCACCCCTGACCTCAGCCGTGGCCTCTGTGACCTCCCCCCTCTGGCAACGTGGTTATTCCACACTTGCACAGCGTGCCTATCTTTGGAGGGTTACATCACCCTCCAGTCTCACCCAAAAGGGTTTACAGGGTTGTAGAGATTTACAGCTGAGACTTTTTTTTTTTTTTTTTACTAAAAAGGAGATGGGAATGAGGGAAAGGTTGGGAGGAGTGGGTTAGGAGGAGGCTGAAAAACCAAACCAAAGAACAAAAATAGACTTTTCTCTGAAATCCCCTGGCAGTGGCTGCGGCTGAAATCTCTTTTGCCAGCACAACTCTCCAGCGGCCAACATTCACAGAGTTCCACTAACAGCGTGGATCACCCTGGCTTGCTCACACTACGGACAATGTTCCAGTTCTTCAAACATGATCCGCTGAGCTGTAGATTCTTTACCTGTGCGATAACGTCAGCCTCCTTGGAGCAGCAGTAAGAAGGACAACTGAAGTAGTGCACGCAGTCAGCACGCTACCAGGTGTGCTCTCTGTGCTATTAAGGAGTCAGGCCTTGCCAAATGTCATGACACGGTCTTTACAATTACTTTAATACAAGCGCATTTTCTATTTCATATGGTAACAAAAATATCACTGGACACAGAGTTTCTGGGGAGCTGAACAAGTTCTATGTGGCTGCTGGTGCTTCTTTTATTTTTATGTATTTAGTACAGGGTCTCCAGGGTCTCATTACACAGATCATAGTGATCCTCCTGTGTTCAGTCTCCCAAGCGCTGGGATTACAGGCACACACCACCACCCAGTCTCAATGGCTGTCTCAGTGTGCCCCAGGGCAGGGTCCCCCAGCACGCTGGAGATCAAACCCTGGCCCCTACATCTGCCTAAGCAGGTGCTTTACTCCTCTGAGCTATCTGGCCAGCCCTTGCTGGTGCTCCATTAGTTTGTGAAAATTCATTGGATCCTCAGCACAGAAACATTTTTCTCCATGTGTCATATTTAATTGTCAAAAAGGCTCTCACAGAGCTGGGCCCTGGAACCCAACCTTTTCTTGTTCTGGTTATTCTATCTGCAGTAGAGTTTGGAATGACCATAGAGCCACAAGAATTGCTTCACTGATTCAAAGAGCCTTGGATTGGCTCCAGGTGCCAGATAGTGGCTGTCCTCCCATAGCCAACCTGCTCTCAGCCATATGGGCAGCCAATTCCCAGGTGTATGTCCTGCGCCAGCAGGTGAGGCCACTGACACCCCAGAGACAAGGAATCAGTCACTCGCCACATTTGATTGGTTCTTTAGCTGTACATCAACATGCATATGACAAGTGGGAAATTCTCATACCTGGACATACTCATCACCTTAGGCAAAACAATAGGCATAATGACTGTGAAAAACCCCCATTAACCTCCTATTCATATGAACAATGTATTGCCAGCCTCAAACCATAGTGTAAAGAAAGATAGTAAGCACAAATGTCTCCAAGATTCACAATGATGAAGAAAGGCATTAGCAATTTAACACTTGTACTGCAACTCTGCTGAGCTCACTGCAACTTGCATCATCTTAAAAAAGATTAGGGGTCACAAGTAAGTTTCTCCTTTGCATTTCCTTCTAATGTATTTTCACAGGTCCTTGAGCTTGGATCAGTCAGAAGTGGTCTTTGAAGGAACTATTCTGATACCGCTCTCCTGTGTGCAGACTTCTAACTGCCGCTCAATGGTTTGTATGTGGCCCAAGAAAAGCAAGCCAACCACAAATACAGTCCACGTGCACAGCGAGGGGTAGGCGCTTGGGACTCTCATTTTGGACATGCTGATAAACATAAGCACCCCCATTGCTACTGCTGCTTTTTCTCCTTACAGCCCCCTTTAGCTCCGCCCCATAACTTACCTCTTCCGGCCTGCTTAGCACATGGCCTTCTGGGCCAGTTATCCCCATTTCCAACATCCGGTTTTGCTCCTAGCATGAGGGGGAAGTAAAAGAGGTAAGCTCAACTAAATTTGGAAAAATTATACTGGTACATTGTGATCTAAACATGTACTTAAAAGATGAAAATAATATGTATATGCAACAAACTTTAATTCTATATATGAAGTTGCAATATAAGTGATATATATATCACTTATATATATATCATATATATATGATATATATTATATATATATATATGATATATATGATATATATATTTGTTCTGGGGAATCTAACTCAAGACTTTGCACTTGCCGGGCAGGCACTTATGCAGCTGAACTATTTCCCCAGGCTGTGACTTCCTTTTAGTGAAGGTAAGACAGCTGGTTCCTGAGAACATACAGTTTTTGTGTTACCCATCAGAATTCCTGCCAGGTCACCCACTCGCTCTCCACATCTTTCAGACTCAGTTGTTTGTGAAATCACATTTGCTTAACTTGTTGGTTTGTTCATTTCTGCACCTTACACTCATTTATGCAAAAAATGTACTGAATATCTGCTTCACACCAGGCTCTGTGATAAGTACTTGAATTGCAGGACTTTACAGTTTAATGCAGCATTTCTCAAAGTGTGGTCCAAGCACCACTCACACTGAAATCACCTGGGCTGCTTTCATGGCAGTGCAGATTCTGGTCTTTTCTCACCTAGCAAATCAGAATGTATAAAGGGAAAAGCTAGTAACCTACATTTCAGTTAATGAATGAATTCACACTTTAACTGGATGAAATAATGCCTCCCGACAGCCCTGAGTTAGTGTTTGGGTCAGATTTCCTCTAGCCGATCAGTGGACGCTGTAGCCGACCTGCCTGGCCCTGACGGCCAAGTGCCGCACTCCTCAGAGTTCTGGCCAGCCTTCAGGGAGAAGCAGGTGGCTGGGCACCGCGCACGCACCGGGCTAATTGGGCCTGGCAGGGATCCGAAACCACCTCACCTGCAGTTTTGCTGGCATTCGCCCTGAAATTCCTAACGCTCCTTCCCACAAGCTTGCTGACCTTGGCCTGCAGGGAAGTGTGGCTAGAGCGAGCCTTATCTCACTTCCCAACTCCGAGACCTTTAGAAAAGTTTTAATGTTTTTGTTGTTCAGGACTCAAAATCTCTAAACAAGGAGTAAAAAGGAAAGTATATGGAAGACTCAGAAAGTTACATAAAAGGTCGGAGGCTGCTTTTTCCTGCAGAATACCTCTACTTGTCATTCACACTGTCCTCATTTATTCAGACGTCAGTGGAGTAACATTTTCTCCAAAATTAATAAGTGTCCACTCTGAGGCACCTCAGTCCACACAGAGTTTGTGGTTGATGACAGTAATGCTTTTGTCTTACGCTGCACTCACTTCTCTTTTGGTCATATAGACCTTTATAATGCACAGAAGAAAGCTAGCTCAAGCAGCGGCTTCCAAACACATTTACTAGGGATACATTTTCCTTGGTTTTGGTGATGTTGGGGAGGCTGAGATTGAACCCGGGGCCTTCCCATCGAGCACTTCCTCTCTTACTGGTTTTTGAGACAGTGTCTCCCTAAATTGCTAAGTTGCCCAAACGGCGCTTGAACTTGAGGTCTTTCTGCCTCACTTTCCTAGAGTACTAAGAGTGTGTGCCAACAGACCCGCTGGGAGGCATCTTCAGGTACACTTTACTATACTCAGCTACAGAGCTCCTGCATCTCAGGATGTGGAATCAGGAAAATCCAGTGCTTGTAATTCATGACTCTTGGGAAGACTTATTCTTTGTGTGTGTGTGTGTGTGTGTGTGTGTGTGTGTGTGTGTGTGTGTGTAACTGGAGATTGAACTCAGACCCTTGCGCTTGCCAGGGAAGAGATTATTCCACTGAGCCATCTCCCCGGCTCCGGAAGACTTATTCTAAACTCCAGTTTTCTTACAGTTGGAAGACTAAAAATGATAAGATGCTTATTTACACGCAGACGTGTTATGTACCTCTACCAAACACCCGCAATGAACATAAGCATCATGTATCCCAAACATGTACTAATAAAAACTAAAAACTGTTAAATGAATGCCCAGAGATGCTGTACCCTCATACTACCTTGTTTACTTAAAAGGTTTGAAAACCGCTCTTGTTTGTAGCCAAAGGAAGAGATTTCTTATGGCTCTTTAGTCACTTTTGCAGAAATGTAGCAAGAAATGCTGAGGACAGCAGCTGCCTTCACTTAGACATTGTGATAAAATCTTTCTGCTCAAGCTGAATTTAATAAACACACTCAAGAAACTCATCCAAATGGAATAATGCCCTTATTATTTTCCTGACAGAGAGCAGATCTTCTTGGGGCAGGGGAAAACCGGGGGCGGAGGGGACTGAAGAGCCCTCTGTGGGGAGGGGCTCTGCCTTGGAGTCCCCTCGCCTTTAGAGTGGAGGAGCAGGGAGCTGGGCTTCAAGGGCAGCTGAAGAGGCTGGAGCTCTGGCTGCTGAACGGAACCCTTGGTGAAGTGGGGGTGGCAGCTCTGACACTCGTGGGCCCTTGGGCACTCTGTGGAAAATGATTTCATTATGTCTGGGTATGTGGGAGATGTGGAAGAAGGTACCACCTGGGCCTGACTAATTAGCCTCCTGGGTCATAGGAAAGAGAAAAGTTCTCACTTCAGTCAGACTCTGAGACCCCAATGGCTGGAGCCCTGCGCTTCTGGGCACTGTGTCCCCAGGGGCCTGCAGCTGGGCTTGAGGAAGAAGGGACCCCACAAACTCCATTTCTAGGCAAAGGTGCCTCCTTAGGCACAAGCCCTTAGGAGTAACATCTGGTCTTCCCAGCTATTTGCTGTAATTTTGGAGTGAGACATAATCCTCAGGACTCCAAACTCTGATCTACAGAACAGGGAGGATGATGGTCCCTTTAAGGGTTAGAAGAAGGCTAAATGACAACATTCCAGAGTCCCCACCAGTGCCTGGCATATAGTAGTAAGTGCTTAACTAAAGGCATCTGCTATTAGGAAGCTAATGGGTCTGAGACGAGGTTCAGCCTCTCCGCTAATTTCAACCTCTCTACTTATTCCACATCCCTGCTGACTGCTCCCACCAAGGCCTGGGCAGTTTCTGCAGTGGAGGCACAGCTAGAGCACTGCGAACTGGAATGCATCTGTTTCTGCTCACCTCAGAGCCTCGAATCTGGCAGAAAGTGCTCAGAGTATGCTCAGAAAGAATGAAAGCTGGTTCTGGTAACTAGTGCTGTCAAGCGAACTAAGCCAGCTCCCTTTCTGTTTCACTGGCTGTCTCCTTCGAGCAGAGGTCAGTGCTGAATGACTGAGAGATAAACACAGCCCTGCCCAAGACGCATCTGTGTGTACATCTCTTCCATTAGGCAGCGGACTGCTCTCTGCTGCCTTACAAATGAGCTCTTTGGGCCTTGGGGGCCCTTGCTTTCATCATTCTTTCCTCATGTTTCTCAATATGATTTCTAGGAAACCAGCCCGATCCCCACAAGACCTAAGTTCTTTATTATCTAAGGCTGTGATTGCTGCAGATGTGGATCAGATTTCTGGCTTCTGAGAAATGCTGCCTGAGGGCTTTTCTCCAGGACAGAGAATGTCATGTAGCTTTGACTGCTTTCCCACTAACTGGACCATTATAGAAGCTTCCTCCTCCAGGACACCGCGTCTGGTCTCGGGATGTCCAGACCTCTTCCTGCTTCACAGTATTGTGTAGTTTCTCCTCGCTTGTCTCCATTTCCCCTTCTTTTTCCCTCCATATAGACTGTGAGGTTCTTTTGGGCCAGTTCTATCCTTAACAAAGCACCTTGAGGAACTCTTCCATACACCAGGAGCTCATGTGACCATGAAGAAATGAGATAGGAAGCACATGTTGGGGGCTGCATGATGTTACCTGGGCAATGATGTCCCCATTCTCAGCATGAACTTGGGCAATGGCCCCTAATTCTCCTAGGCAGGTGAAGATCTCATAGAGCTGAAAGAGAAATGAATTTGTGTCACCTTCCCAGCCACTCTTAGCCACCTCACTTGAAAGCCAGCTATTAAAACTAGAGCTTAAACAAATGGAATGAACCAGGACAAATCCCTGACTAACCCAGATATAGAGTCTAAAATATGCATATATTTTAGTATAGTCCAAAGCAGCCCTGGGTGATGCACCCACTTGAAGATCCTGGCATAACTCCTAGACAAACAGGACCCAAATCTAATGGAGCACAGGTGATTGCCCCCTGTGGGTCAGGAACATACTTCTAATGAATCATTTCCCATCGAGCTGAGACACAACTTTGAAGAAGGGTTCCAGAGGGCTAGTACAGCCAGGTCAAAGCTAACAGAAAAGCTACAACCCTACGTTTGAACCAACTTTCATCTCCTAAGCAAGAGGCACAGGAATTAATTATTTGTATTTCTTCTGCTTATTTGAGGTTAGTCTAGAATAGACACATGCCATGACTTTCTAAGCAGAGGCACAGGCAAGCTGGAACAGCTATTCCCTGAAGCAGCAGGTCCTCCTAAGCAGATAAGGCAGAGAATCCCACACTGTCCCCCAGCTTACAAGGGGCCAGGAACCTGCACAGTGGACAAAGAATTAGGTTTGCCCTTCCTCTTAGCCTTCGAGGAAGCTGCTGCTAGTGGAAGTTCCAGCTCCCTGTCTGCTCACCCAGTGGCGCCCTGCCCATCACCTTATTTACAAAGCCATGGGGACAGCAAGCGCTTTGAGAAATGTGCTGGCCCAGTGGTCTTCCACACTGACTGCAGTGACTCATGTTACAAGGGCCAAAATACTCAGCAACAAGAGGAAATTCATCAGATACCCCAAACCGCACCACATAGGGGTTGTTACCTCCGTGTTGGACACTTGGTACAAATCCTTGTAGGCCATGTAAACCATGAAAGAGTTAACCCCTGCAAGGCATGGAAGAAGAGAAAAACAGAAGACATTATTGCTACCGCCTTCTCTCCTTAGCTCCACCCCTAGCACCCATGGGACCTGAGTGCATTACTCAGTGGCTATCCAATATACATTAGACCTTTGGAATTCTCCACAAACATTTTACCACATTGACTCCTACCCCAGAAGAAGTGTCACTGGAGAAGGCCCCTCCTTCTGTGCCTATTTTCTCACTTCCGCTATTCTGGTTCATATCCAGAAGTCCCTCTAAAATCTCACACATTCAAAGGCAGGGCTTTTAAAGGATGATTGAATAATGGAGCACTATCACTAAATTTAGGTCAAGAGGCAGGGCCTGGTCAGAAGATGTTGGCCCCCAGGGGCCCGCCCTGGTAGAATGTCTCTCTGTCCAGGTCTTTTCATTTATGATCTCTGCCTCCTGCTGCCACCTCTACAGGGGAGGCTTTTCTGCAGGTTATGGTTTGTATCTAGTTGCCCTGGCAAAGCCTCATGTAAATCACGGGGCAGTCACCTCTTGAGGGGCAGCACATGGCTCGAGGGGCGTGGCCCGAGGACTGGGGTGGGGTCAGAGAGGTGCGAACCTTTAAACTGGCTAGCCTGTGCTTTCTCAGAAGTGTGGAGAGGGTCATCCTGGACATGGCTGCGCCCCAGTCCCTCCTCCCTCTCCTCCAGTGTCTTGAAACCTCCAGTAACTGTGCACTAAATAAACCTTTCCTTCCCTCATTTTGAGTGTTGGGTATTTGTCCCAGCAACGAAAGAAGAGTAACTAATACACTGCACCTTGCTGCAGAGCAGGCAAAGGACTGATAAGCTGCTCCTCAAGTCATAGGTGTTAGGTTCTTGATCTCAGCTAGAAGACAGTGACTCTGGCATGCTCACCATCTTTCCAGCTCAGAAGCTCAATGCGTTTGGGTCTTGCTGAAGGCAGCAGCCAGCATGGCGCAGCACTCTGGCACTAGCTGTGAGCACAGTAGGGCTGCACAAGAGGAGCCCTGCACACAGTGAGTGAGCTGGAATACTTATCTCCCTGGGTCTTGTTTGCCTCCCATGTAAACCAGAAAAACAACAATGCCCTACATCATAAGGACATGTGAAGGCAGTAACACGCTACAGGAGAGGCCCCAGCACCCATCCTGACAGTTCCATTGCTCCCATTCAAGGATTCTCAGGATGAATTTATTTCACCATTTACCAAATGTCTGCTATATACTACGACTGACTAAGGTGTGAAAATAAATGAAAATAGGCTCTCCAAAAACTGCTCCAAAATGCTGGCAGGTACCAAATTCCTTTCTCTCATTGAACTTGTACTTTGCAGTGTGTATGCAGATACTGTTTTCTGTAAATAAATGAGATTTCTCCTCATTGCAATTTGTTTAAAGAATAAAGTCCAAAGTCAAATCTGATTTGTTCAGCTAGAAATGCTCCTTGTGATTTTCATTAACAAAAGCATGTTGTCTCCAAATGCAGTCTTAAGCACTGTTTTTCAACTTAAACAAATTCATGTGAATTTCAAGCATTAAAAAAAGAAGACATGGATCCTGACTTCAGAGAACTAACGGAACTAACGGGGACCAAAAGTAAGTTTTGCCTCTGCTCAAAGACCTCAGTTGCCAGGGTTATAAGGAAAATTAAATTTTCACCCAAAATAAATAGGTGGGTCTGGGGAACAGGGAATCATTTTGAGGAAAGGAAGACAATTTTGGTCTGCTACCATTATGGCCATCTCAACCCACAGTGTTCCCAGCCAAAAGTGGATTATAGTTTGAGTATGGCCCAGAATGGGTCGGCTCAGGGCAGCTCGGCCCAGGCCACTCTTCCGGAAAGCTTCCCTGTTATGCACGGAATGACCCCGGCCCTATGTACTAGTGAAAGCCATTCAATTTCTCACTCAGTTGAGATGTCCAGCACAAAAGAAGGTACAAAGAGAAAAGAAGAAGTTGATTTTTACATTCTGTGTCACCATGAATTGGACAGGATTTGTGGGTAAAAAGAATGAACACAAAATTCACCCTCTGATGATTTGCCCCTTCCCTCCACCCCAGGGGCAAGCACTTCTGTGGAATGCTAGCATGTGAGTCCAGACTCCTAATGTGAGGACAGCACTTGTGACTTGCGGCATTCATTCTATTGTTCTTCATGGAACTAGATGTCCAGTACAGGTCATGACTTAACAATATTCCACAATGGTTTAAGTGTTAAATATCTACTGATCAAAACACAGAAAGAAGTAGAGAACAGGAGAATCTAAGAACACAACAAGCTTAAATCAGGCACTTTTGAGAGGAAACACTTTACACCCTGCACCCAGGTGGAAACAGGAACATATTTTTAAGCCTAAGTTTCTAGCCTGAGTGGCAAGACATCCTTTCTCCTAAAAACATGTTAGCCGGGGAGATGGCTCAGTGGAATAAGCACTTCCCTGGCAAGCGCAAGGGCCTGAGTTCAATCCCCGGTTCCGCAAAAAAAAAAAAAAAAACATGTTAGATTTTTCTGAGGATGTCAATGTTACATGAGCAGTGGTTTGCTCTCTGGGGTAAAAATAATAAAGCTTTACAATTCCTAATCTCATTATTTGCTGCGCAGGTAACCTTATGTAGGCTACATTAGCCTCTCCTAACCTCAGTGTCTTCCTCTACAAAATGGGTGGTATTGGATAGAAGTGAGGAAGACCCCGTGGGGTAGGTCCACTCCTTACTAATTCCGTGTTCCTGCGCCCAGTCTGACCCTCAGCTTCACCATCTGCAAAGCAGGCATAACAATCTTTCGCTCATAAGGATCCTGTAAGAGGTGAGCTACACTCCATCAAGTGCCTGGTATGAAGCGGAACCCCTACATCCAGCTCTCAAGCTTAATGCTTTAGACTCCAAGCAAGACTGAAACGAACCAACAGTGTGAGAAGGACAGTCAAGGAGATGCCAAGGGAGGGGGGATGAGGGAGCAGGGCACGCATGCTCAGATTCACCTTTGTCCTTGATGAGGCTCTGCACTTCCTGCTTGACACTGTCGTTCCAATGGGTGATGTCCACGTGCAAGGCATAGTCACAGCAGCTCTTCCCATCGGCCCACTCACGCCACTTCTCATAGGCCTCGGTCAGGCTGGACTCAGGCTCAGGCACCACATGATCAACTGAAAGACAGAGGCCCAGGTGGGTGACTCAGACCTGGCTTTCCCCCCTTGTCCAGACAAGCTCCTCCTAGCATACCTATAAGGACTTCCTCAGCTTGAAATTAAAGTGGAAAATGTTCTCTAGTAGCCTTGAGGATGCTGATGGTACAAATGTTTTTTAGCTACGAGATCTGTGAAAAACTAGCTTCTCTAAACTTCAGTTTTTTCTCCTTAAAACAGGTGCTACAGGGGGGTAGTGGTGCTTTCCTTATAAGTGTGTGTGGTAGTTGATACATTGTATCAATTTGAGATTGGCTGACTTGGCTCCAGAGGGGCCGTGGGGGTCTCCCCGTCCTGCAGGGCAGAGAGGGCCCACCTTAGGGTGTGATTGATTGCTTCTACCTTAGGGCACAACGGGACCACCCCAGAATGACTCAGCACAAAAAGACTATATAAAGGAGGCGAGGAAGGCTTCTGAGCCTTCCCCGCTGCCTTGGAGAAGTCTCGGTCTTCATCTTGCCACTTTGCAGCTGTGCCACTTTGGAAGAGCTTGGTCTTGCCGTGGTGCTACTTCGGAGGAGCTCTGATCTTCAAGGTGGAGCGCTGGTCTCAGCAGTCAGCGTAGAAGGAAGAGAGAGGCTTGATGGACACCGCAGCTGCTGCTTTTCCTCTGCTCTTCATCATTTTCTGCCACCACGAACTGCTGCCTTTTGCCTTGGACTCAGCGGACTATGGACTGAAACCTCCAAAAACTGTGAGCTAAATAAACCTTTTTTCCTTCATTTGAGGGCTGGATATCTGTCCCAGCAAGGAGTAAACAGTAACTAAAACAGTGTGCTCCCAACAGTTTAATAGAAAAATCCATGTACAGAGCTGGACACTGTGGCTGTCACTTCAGTGACTCCTTACTTATTGTACAACGCCATTACCAGGGCTGTGTCACTGTGAGGGGCCAGGAAGGGCTTTAAAGTTATGTGAGCATAAGAGAGGTGAGCCTTCGTGCTCAGTGATGAAGGAAGAGCTCGCATTGGTTCTGTAAATTCAACACGACAGCCAAGGATCTCATTTCCATGTGATGTTTCTGGCAAGCGTCCAGTGGCTCTGAACTCAGAGCTACTCTTCCTTCTGCATCTGTGGATAATTTTGCTTTTCACATAATCACCTCTACATTTGTGAGGATAACACATAAGTTACATTCTCACAGCTCCCCCATAAGCTGCTAAGACCAAGTGAGAATGGGTATAATTTTCCTGAGAACTTCACATAAGAAGTCTGGAGGTTTTTCATGTATTATCATCATTTCCAAGCCTAATAATTATTCCCAGGGAAACTGGTGTGGACAGATACAAGCTCTCGATTTTAAGGATGTATGTTACTTATTTACGTAAATGAAAAGCTGGCAAGAACTAGGGCTGTCTGGTTGCCTATGGAAATCATAATGACATCATAAAGTGATGACCCTTATGAAATATTGTGGTAGAGGAAACATAAATGAGTGGAAAGACATTTGTGACATGTAATTGAGTGAAAATGACAGGATAAATACAGTACTGTACAAATAGTGGGGCCCCTATTTTTGTTAAATGGGAAAAATATGTGTAGAGCATATAGCCAACTTGAACAGTGATGTGGGATTACCAGGTTGCGTTTTCTTTTCTTTCTTTCTTTCTTTTTTTTTAATATCTGGGATTTCCAAGTTAACTGTGAAAGCCATGAATGCTTTTGTGTGTCCTCGTATGCATCACTCTTGTCACCTAGGTCTCTGACTTTCCTTCTGCTCCTTCTGTAGTGCAGAAGACCAAGCATAGCACGCTGCCCAAGGATGCTGCTCGGGTCCAATTTCTTGCTTTGATTGCAGACTGCTGCTGGCCAAGATCACTGTTTCCTCAGACTTCTATCAAAGGCAGCCCTGGTGCATTCATTGAAGAGTAAATGAGTCTAGCTACATTATTAATGTCTGGAACACACTAGGGCTTTCACAGGCAGGAGATTGCTGAGAAGTCAGCTGGCTTCCGCCCTGCAGCTGGTGAAAAGCTTTGGTCTCCCAGGATTGCACATTTTATGGCCCTGAGGCAGTTTTTCTCAGCTGCCACACCCCACTAGCTGAAGGTGAACCCTGCCAGTGCTCCTGCCAGAAAGGAGTTCAGGACAGCAGGCTATTCTACAGCCCAGGGGCTCCATGCCTGTGGGTGGATGCATATGATGTTAAAGTAAACAGTACTCTGGCTGACCACAGTTGGGCTCAGCAATGAGACAGGACCACATTCACTGAGATTCCTCTGGAGCAGGAAGAACCATCCCAGTATGCCATCAGTTTAGTTACCTACTGGCAGACAACTCCTTAGATTTTTGTGAAATTCCAACTTACCAGATATAAAACCAAAATAATAATAATAATAATAAAATGGAACCTGCTCTCATAGTCTGTCCAATCTCAAATGTACAAATTGGTCAGATAGCACTAAATCCAATGAGGCCCACTAGTTTCCCAAGAACTGCAAGCCCCATTATTGTTTCTGTAAGCATTCACTCCCTGGGCTGTTTTCACATCTGTTCACTTCATGAATCTCTTCTGTGCAGTTACTGTGAGTTGCCATGAGTTGTCCATTTCCCCAGCACAACCTTCCTTTTTCAGGTCCCATCAGCCAGACAATCCATAAAGGACTTTTAGAGGAGTGTACAAGATAGCAACGGAGGGCACCATGCTTAGCATGTTTGCTGACGATATGCCTGTGGGCATAAGAATGTAAAATCTGAGGTCTTACTGATCATAGTGGTGCCCCCTGCTAAGGCAGCCTTGGTCCCTTGAAAAAAGTCATCTACAGTGGTCATCCCTTTGTACGGCATCTGAAAGTGAGTGTGGACATCAATGCCTCCAGGGATCACCATCTTCCCGTTGGCTTCGATGGTCTTCACTCCTCCAGGGACAATCAGATTGTCTCCTATTTGCCTGGAAAGACAACAAGATCACTGGTAATTTAAAAGAGCATTTCTCGAAAAGAAAAAAAAAAAGAAAAAAAAAAGAAAAGAGCATTTCTCAAGACAAATACAGTATTATGAGGGCTTGAGACATTTTAATACACTGGTCAAAGTAGTGCAAGTGATTCACAAGTCTAGAGATTTTAAAACAGAGATATGTTTTTATTGCTACAAAATTAATTTGACGTGGGATCAGGGAGACACCTGTTTGTATTAATGCCAAAATAACCTGTATGAGACTATGTGTACTAGTTTCATACTGTAACCCCAGAGGTTTGATAGTATCTGGAATACAGTGTATGTAATGGGTATTTTGGGGGAAAAATATATTGATTATTCCATTCATTTTGTTCGTTGCTTATGTTGAAGGTGAAGAATAACACTGGGAAAAGTGCTAACGAGTACAAAATAATGGATTGTTAGGAGAGAGAAGGAGATATAGAGTCACTACAAGAACAGACATGGGAACTTCATAGTTATCTCCTAAGCAGGCCATATGTTCTTCTAAGAAATCAACTCTGCCCAGATCTATTTCCATGTCAGTCCTCACTCCTAGCTCCACCTTTCTTGATGATTTATGTCAACCACAGCTCACAGCAGATTCCAAAGGAGGAAGTCAATGATGTAGATGCCTCTGGCTCAGGCTGTATTTGAGAAGTCGGGGTCTCAGTAGAAGCTTCAAGCCAAGGAAGGAGACTATGACAACCTTCCTGAGACACACCATGGCCCGAGAAGCCCACAGCACCCCAGGGAGAAGTGGGGCGGACCCAAGAGGAAGCAAGCCAACAGTTATCCTTCAGAAGGCATGTGAAAAGTGCAACTACTTCCTGCACAATGGGACTTACAGATCAGACAGCACTGCTTAGTTTTTAATGTTATTTTACATCCTTGCTTTAAACAGCTGTTCAGGCCTGTCCATGTGGATTTCAGAAACACATGGGATACTGCTACATTATCCTTGAGTATTTCCTATGCTGGGTACACAGGTATTCTACTACTAATATCATGAATGCCTCCCCTGCTGTACACAGCCAGAAAGGGTCTGTCATGGTGCAATAAGAATTGCACTGGCATGTCAAACTGAATTCTGAAACTGCAGTATTTCTGACATCTCTAAGAGTTCATCTTCACCACATCACCATGGGACCATTCCAGGGCCACCACAATTCAAAACACACTGTGGAAAAATGCAGCCTCTGGTCATAACTCTAGTCCAGACACTGGCCTGTTCTGCTCCCATTTTTCTTCCTCACTGGTTTTTCCCCCTGAGGGAAATTGAAAACCAACTGCATAAAGAATTGCCTGGCCTGTGTCTTTGCATGTATGTTTTCACTTATTCTGACAATTAGCGTAGAATCAAGTCTAAAGCAGTAATGCCGCTCCCTTTTTTCAATTACTGGAGGCTCAAATTTCATCTCCTCTCCTTCATCACGTTCTGGTGACATCCATCCACATCTAATAAGAAGAAGAGGGCAGCTGTGCTCTGGACGCAGGCTGCTTAGATCCAACCCTGGGTATGTCCTAGGAGCTCTACGACTCTGGCCAAGTCCCTGAACCTCACCCTGCCTCAGTTCTTTCATCTGTAAAGTGCAATGAATGCCGCTTCCATGAAGCTGGCTGTATAGATTACATTTATTATCTGTTAAGATCAAAGAAGTGTTAGACACATTAGGGTTCAATAAACAGCAGCTTCTCTACTTAATCATCAGTCTTCTCTCTCCTCTGAACTTTTATCTGTTATAGTACTTCTTGCTGCCCACTGATAACATTAGGTCCTTCACATATATGCAGGTATCTCTGTTCTCCTAAGACACTGAAAAGTCCCTGGAGAAGAAAGCAGTGGTATCTACTGTAGTATGCAACATGGCAGTGTCCAGAGCCTTAGAACTGCTTTGCACATGGGAAGTCCTCCAGGCATCTAACTATGAAACAACTGGAGGAAATTAGATCTTATACTTTGTGTGTTAAGGATGTTGTAAGAAATACATGATATTTCTAGATTAGATGAAGCACAAGTTTATCCAGCTCTTCCTCCATTACAAGTGCAAACACCTAACAACCAATGGCTAAATATCTTCTATAATATTCTTAACTAGCAGCTTTCCATTTGTTCTATCAAAGCTGGAGAAATGGATTTGTCTTACATATTTAACTCTCTTACTGGGTGCCTGAAGCATAGCATGAAGAGAGACTCTAAACCTGACTTAAGGCTCAACTGCAAAAGAGCTACGTGACCAGTTGGTGATGATTCTCACAGACATGAGACGAAGAGGAAGCATGGGCACCAACCCTTTCCACTTCTGCAAGCCTCTGAGTGAGGCAGCTCAGACTTCCAACAATGTAGAACAATTTTAGCAATAGAAAAATTTACAATCAATTTTGGCTTATACATTGAATTAATTATTATAGTTTTTGGTTGCCTATTACTGCCATCTTTTCTGCTTCTAACAAGGAAAAGAAATGGTATAAATTTTTTTTAATTTACTATGAATTACAATTTTGGATGAGGAAATGAGTTTATTTTTTAATTTTTTTATTGAGAAACAAATAGCAATGAGACAGTTTCACAACCGATTACTAGTACATTTTCAGTAATTACTATGTTGCATACTGTTGTCTTAGTGGTTATTCACTGTACAAGATCAGAATGGCATAACTTTGATGAGCAAATAGGAAGGAATATCTTCTCTCCCGCATTTGTTCACTCAACTATTGGCTCAGTCACTCACTTATTCAATGTATTTAACTAATATGCTGACCTTTAATAAGTTATTTATTTTGTGTGCCTCCTTCTGCTCATCTGAGTAAAAAAGATAATAATACTTCCTAATGTTACTGGCAGAATGAAGGAAATAAGAGGTGTAAAACATTTAACATAGCCATTGATCCCTACTGTACATGCAACAAAAGGTAGCTCTGGGTGCTAATAACCACTGGGCCAAGCGTTGGGGCGATGGCAGTGGACTAGATATAGTCTACAACCTCCAGGGAGTCAAGATGTTTGAGAACGCAGAAAGGAAAGCAGGTGTAGATTTGGGATCTGGGAGGGAATGTCCACCTACAGAAACTTATATCTGAGCCAAATTTTCAAATGAAAGTAAGAGATCTCTCCTAACTAGACTCTTAAACTAGCCAATGAAGTGGAACAATCTAACAATAATACTGAGTGAGGTCAGCAGTGGTGAAGAAAATGAGTTGGATGTGCTCATGTTACAGCATCCTATTAGTGTAGTGCTGCTACACTTTGGTGAACATGATCAAGTTCTATTCTGGCGTTCACTATGTAAGAAATGTACACATAATTAACTGGCTCTGCTCCATAATTAACTGGCATCTAACAGTGAACCATGGAATAATGAACATACAATATGCATTCTTTGGGAACCTATTTAAAAATCACGTCTGAAAGGTGTACAGTGCCTGTGCCTGCCTTTCTGAGTCTTATACTCTATCAAGGTCCTGTTTAAATAGTCTCTGGATGCCAAAACTTTTCCTGCAAAGGGTGTCTTTCTGTGCACTTCTAAATCACTTATTTTGACTTGGATTCCTTTGACCCTTTTTACAAAGGCCTTAGTTTTCTCCGGGGTGTAATTAGTACACAGTTCTCAGTAAGCCCAATGCCAATGGTCACGTTTCCCACCTCTCCATGGCCTGCAGAGAGCCTATCAATCCAACTGGTACAAATGGGCCCTCAGAAATGTTCTGTTGGTCAAATTCAGAATTTTCATTTCATTCATGCCATCGAAGCTTTTATCTAGGCCTTCACTGAAGAGAACAAGTCCACAAATAAAAGGAAAGTCCCTAAATACATACTTTATTAAGCCATCCTCCATGTAGATGTCGGCGTAAAAGGACTGGTCATCATTGACGATTCTGCCTCCCTTGATCAGGAGACGGTCACTCTAGAAGAGAAGGAACACAAGAGTCATTGTCAGAACCAGGACTTAATGGCAGAGTGTTTCCTGAGCCTTTCTCAATGCGCTGCTCTAGTCATGGGCTTTCAGAAGCAGCTGTACTAACATGACGTCATGCTCACTTCATGTTACATTTAAATTTGCCAGGCTTATCTGTCAAGTCCTGAACAGGAAAACCTGCATGGGAGGGTCATGATCAGGAAATCTCATTCTGGGCCACCTCTGTACAGTCTCACCCTGCCAGCACTGAGGGGCCATTACCATCCTCTTTGGGCAGAGGGCATGGAGCAGGTTGCTCTACACTGGCAGTGAGCATCTGCCATCTCCTGGTGACAGCTGGGCTTCTGCAGTGGGCATTCACCAACTCCAGCATCAATGGGAAATCTCTACTCAGAACATGATTTTTGAAAACAGCTGATGTAATTAAAGCTTTAATTTTTCAGGAAAAAAAAATAAATAAATTTGCCAGGCTTACGTATGTGTCCACAACACAAAATTGTTTAAGTATAAGAAAAATCACTAGGTGGGAAGAAGACAAAAAAATCTACAACATTCCCTTCAGAGTGGTGACATTATAAAGGGATTACATTTGCTTTATATATTAGAACTTCTCACACTGTTAGTGGATTTCTTTAATCATGAGAGACACAAAATTTGGATATGTGATTCAATTGGAAACAATGAAAACAATCGCAAGGTTATTATTAGCAAAATAAATACATACTTTCTGTATAAATCAGGAAATCACAGATCCCATCAAACAGGACTTGGAATGAGGCATGAGCTTTTGATTGGATGGGCACGGCTTTGTTTGACCACAGAGGAGTTTGGCTGAAGGGAACTATGATGTGAATAAGGACTGGTAGCTGGATTTTGTGAAGAACTCAACTGTATCTATTTATACATCCACCGACACACCCCGCTCCAACCATCCATCAATCCACTTATCTATCAACCACCCAATGATAAAACAAATAATTATTTAATTTTTATCATTAGGTAGAAAGAGTATAGTTGTGAACAAGACATACTAAACCATGTAATTTTAGTGAGAAGTCTAGCAATAGATAAAACCAACAAAACACAGAGTTGATAAATTGCATTAAATGTCACACAACACAAGAGCAGGGCTTTGTTTCAATAGAGGCCATGGAAAGTCTGTCCAAGGAGGAACAATGACCATGAAGGTAGGGAGGTGACAGTTCTTTGGGCAGAAGGAATACATGTGCAGAAGCTCTGAATTAAAAATAATTTTGTCTCTGAAAATCTGGAAAAGACCAAAGTAGAGAAAGCAGGAAGTGAGACGTGGAGGCAGGAGAGTTTTTGTCTGAGTGAAAATATACTGAGGCAGGAGGACTGTACACTGAGGGGTAAAGACTTGTGCAGAAAAGGCAGCTCTGGGCCACAGTGCTCCAGCCAACATTCTACAGCACTTGGGATCGCCCTGCTCCACAGGGACTAAGGGTGCGGGATGGAAGTTTCAGGGGAGGGAAGGCTTCTATTCCAACTGATCCAACACCACCATTCCTTGATGCTCATTTCCTGGCCCATGTGAGAATACAGCTTTCCAGGAAGATACAGTTTCAGGGAGGAGGCAGCTCTGAAGCCCGGTGACTTCTGGCTTCTGAAGTGGAAGAGGGAGATCAGGAGATGACAATGAGAAATGGAGGCTCCCACAGGAGACAGAGAACTATCACTTAGCTTCTCTTGCTTTCAAACTGCATGAAAACAGGAAATCTCACCATGTCATATTGCCTGGGCAGAGGGTTTATAAAAAATACAGACCAAAGAGGTGTCTAGAAAAACCCTATACAGGTAGCAAGGAAGATGAAGTAACAAAGTCAGACAAAACTCCTGCCACACATGCTTCACAAGCCCACATAGTCCAGTCTCTGTCCATGGGTTTACCTGTATTAGGATCATGTGTCACCTTCTCTTTTCTGCAGTTATAAAACTACAAAATGTACTGTTCTTGTCACATGCCAGACTATCTGACCACCAAGACTTTCAAAGAGAATTCTCTTTACCTTCTCCCATGTTCCCTTGATGTCTACCAACTATTCTATCTTTTGCAAGGCCTCTAGGCAAGGGTTTCTCCCCCAGGATATGTTACGTGATCTTCCAGCAAATTTCACCTACCCCCACTGAGATTAAATTTGAAGAATTGTGTTTTTAGTGATTTATTATTTATCTATTGTTTACACCAAAGATGCCTTCAGTCTTAGAATCATGTTTTTTTAATCTTTGTATCTTAAATCTTGAAGCCCATATTAAACAGCTCTCACATATTGGTCAAAGGAATGGCTAGAAAGGGAACAAAGAAAGTTAGATTGTATCAGCATAAATAAAGAGATATCTGACTTAGAAAATTATGTGAAGTCACAGAATTTGATCTTTAAGAGAACAGGAAAGTTTTTCTGATTTACTGTTGTAGCAGTACTGCAAAATTATATGAGACAGTCTTAGTTAGGTCTGTGCTTTGAAATTGGCGTGCATATTACAAAAATATCTTTTTCCACTCCCCGCTCCTATTCACCAGATCTTTATTCTATAAGCTCCATCCGTGGCTCTGAGTTCCTAGGCACCCCTCAGGCAGCCCAGCATCAAGCCACAGGGCAGTACAAGGCATCCCTGCATCATAATTCTGTGTTTGTAAAAGCAGCAGCCGTTCCAAGAGGAGTTTCAGAATGGTGAAATCCTGGTAGCTGTAAGAGTTTCCTCGCATAGCTCAGTGCTTTTCTGATGTTCTTTCTCTTTCTGGCAAAGAGCTTTCCTCCGCAGGCTAAGGATGTTCAACCTGAACCACTGCTGTGACCACCACATCCCTCAGTAAGCCTCTCACATCAGCCAAGAGGCAAAAGCTATACAGGCCCTGTGTGCAGCACAGGCCTAGCAGGGGCTGATGCGGCAGAGAACGCCACTGAGATGGCGCCATGGGAAACTCTTCAAATGGTAATTGAGACTTCTAACTCAATAATAAGCCATCTAGAAAGAGCTGGAAGATGAATGATAGCCATGCTATAGATTGCAGACCGAGCAAACTAACACAGAAGACCCCTAGTTCCTGGGCCGTAAGTATTTATTACTATTGCTGCTATTATTATTTGTTTTATGGCACCACATCCAGTCTCAATTGTCATCTCAGCATGCCTTGGGCATGGGACCAGCATGGCATGCTGGGAATCGAACCCTGGCTGCTGCACTCTGCCTAAGCAGGTGCTTTAGTCCACTGAGCTATCTCGCCAGCCCTTATTATTTGTTTTCATTGTACATAGCAGAAACACTAACACTTGGGCCCAGAACAAACACATGCTTGGGGGAGGGGTCCTCAGTCTGCTCTCTATCTTTCCACCCCAAAATCCCACGTGACTAATTTCAACACTTTCCATGCATGGGAAAATCCAGTACAAAGGACAGCCTCTGCAGATGAGCCATTAGACATAGTGAAGCATGCAAGGCAATTCGGGGCTTTAGCACAAGGGAACATGAGGCTAGGGTACGACACATCAACTGACCAGCCCACAGCAGCAGAAAGCCAAACATGGCTGGACTCAAAACAGGACTGTGCATGACCTCATGACCTAAGGCAAGTCAGGATCAAAAACTAATAAGATGCAAAGCCAGAGTAGTGATACAACGTCATCTTCAATAAGTAGCATGGCTTTTTAGAGCTATTTTCTGTTTCAGGTAACTGAGGCTGTCAAGCACCCAGGGTCTCATTTGGAGCCTTCCAGTCTTTCCCATGTAACGAGATACAAGAAAATGACACTATTTCTACAGCATGATGGGGTAATCTATATTCTCTGTCTGTCTGTCTGTCTGTCTGTCTGTCTGTCTGTCTGTCTGTCTCTCTCTCTCTCTGGGGGAGTTCTGCTTTGTTGTTTTTTTGAGACAGGATCTCACTATATAGGTCAGACTAGTCTTGAACTTACTGTGTAGTTCAGGCTGCCTTTGAATTCATGGAGATCCTCCTGCCTCAGTCTCCTCTGAGTGCTGTGATTACAAGCATGCACTACCAGTCTTGGTTATGCTGAGTAATCTGGATGGCATATGAACCCCAAATGAAGCTACTCATACCCTAATACAACAGGCAGGGAGCTCTGTCTTAGACCCTAATAGTTATCAAGGGCTGGGAGTCAAACCCTCATACAGTGTAGCAGGGTGCCAACCCAACAGCTGGCAAGCATGGGTCCAGCTGAGCATTAGCATTGGGAGATGAGACAGACCACTGAACTAGACCTGTGACCCTGAGTCAGGACTTAACCTCTCAGAGCTTCAGTGTTTTCACTAGCCCAAAGTAGACAGTAACACCTAGCTTATCTCTCAGGGTGGCTGCCAAGAATGAGGACGTTTGTGAGATAGGGAGAGAGCGGCACCTTGAGAAACACCAACTGTCTTACACCTAGTAACTATGTGACATTTATTCCATTAATGGTATTTATAGTATGCTATATTAATTTAAAATCCTTGAGTACAGTGGAGAAAGACTACCATTCCTGTTTTCCAAGTAGGGGGTGCATGCACAGTGGCACCTTACTCTAGGTGACAGAGTGAATAGATTTTGTGGCCAAGGAAATTCATTGTACCGATTTCCGCCAGGCCTCTGTTCCAAGGGTATTTAAATTTTAGAACAAGGGGTCTTTCTGACAGAATTCACTTTCCCATTTGATAGTAAATCTGTTTTACTGTTTAAACGGCTGACTACTTCTCTGCTGTAGGTAACTTTAAGATTCCATTGAGTTTTAGCCACTGCTCATAAAATCAGTGCATTAAATCAGCCCCTTGTGGGCTGAATGTGTTAATGTAATTCGTAAAGGGGCAATCCAGGGTGTGCAATCCAGGGTGTGAAAAAGAAAGTCTATGTTTCTCCTTTTAGAGTATAATAATAATTTCAGAAATTAAAAATTTGAGTTTCAAAGAGAAAGATGGAGAAAAGGAAGGAAAGAAGCCATTAACATGTTACAAATGATGGATGACTGATTCAAGCT